AAAGTAGAACTACCATATGATCTAACAATACTTCTGGGGACATATCCAAAAGAACTGAAAGCAGGGTCTTGAGGAGATAGGTATCTCTAGCAGGTGCGCACCCATGTTCAAAGCAGTATCATTCACAACAGCCAAGAGGTGGAAGCAACTCAAATGTCCATTGAAGGATAAATGGATAAACTGTGGTATATACATATAATGGGATATTATTCAGCCATAGAAAGGAAGGAAATTCGGCACATGCTACAACACAGATGAACCTTGAGGACATTATGCGAAATGAAATAAGCCAGTCACAAAAAGAAAAGTACTGTTTGATTCCACTTATATGAGGTATCTAAAATAGGCAAAATCACAGAAACGGAAAGGAGCATGGTGGTTACCAGGGACTACAGGGAAGGGAAAAAGGCGAGTCGTTTTTTAATGGTATGTATAGAGTTTGAGATTTGCAAGTTAAAAAAAGTTAATGTGAATAAATTTAACACTACTGAACCGCACACTTAAAAATGGTTTAATTGGTGAATTTTATGTTATTTTGCTTACCACAATTTAAAAAAAAAAGATTAATGGAGTCATGTCAGTAGACACAAGAGCCCACTTGAAGGAAGGAGTGCCCATTGGTCAAATTTGAGACAAATAGAGCATCAAAAAAAGTAATGACTATTATCAACTATAACACATTAATTTTTAAAAATCTATGAGGTAATAGTGATACTAAAAAAAATCTTCATAGAAGAATCATAGGTAATCATTGTAAAAGAAATTATATATTTAGAAAATGAACACTTTCTATACAACTCTCTGTATAGTAGCCGATTTAGGTAAGGATCATCAATGAATGCTCAAATAATTAACAACTGCTGTGGAACAAGATATTCAAATGATACCGAAGCAATACCCCACAGATGACTTACTAATTACAAAGGGGAAAATGTGCCTTATAATGGAAAGATGTGGCAGTTAACACTTTATCTTTTTTTTTTTAAAGATTTTAGTTATTTGACAGAGAAAGAGCGAGGGAGAGAGCACAGGCAGAGGGAGAGAGCACAAGCCGGGGGAGCGGCAGGCAGAGGGAGAGGAAGAAGCAGGCTCCCAGTTGAGCAGGGAGCTCGATGCAGGGCTGGATCCCAGGACCCTAGGGTCATGACTTGACCCAAAGATAGATGCTTAACTGACTGAGCCACCCAGGCACCCCATGGCAGTTAACACTTTAACAAAGTAATCAAACTTAGCATCACTATTAGAACACCCTGTCATTAGGTGATGCCCCCTAATCTGATACAGGATGAATAGACAACAGTATCTATGAATTATACCAGCCAAAAAATGCTTACTCTGAATCTAATCCCTCCTCTAGATCCAACTTCCAGTTTACAGGAAATACAGGGGGATAGAGGAACAAGTTAAGTGACACCAGAAGGAAAACAATCAGACACAATTCAGAATGTGAGACAATCTACAAAACAAGTGACCTAGATTAAGAGAGACTAAGGAGACAATAATTAAACATGTGAACCTTGATTAGATCCTGTTTGAATAATTTACAAGAAGACATTTTTGGGACAACTGGGGAAACTGGAATATAAACTAGATATTAGATGATTTTTAAAAATTATAATTAAATATATATTTCAAAAAACAAATAAAAAATGTTTAACCTCACTAATTATTAAAACAAAATATGTTAAAATTTACCTATCAAATTGGTGACAATAAAAATTAATACAATTTTGGGGGGCAGGACAATCTGGTAACATGTAACAGAGGTTTTTAAAATATTTATATACTTTACCCAGCAATTCCACTTCTAGGTATTCATCCTATAGAAATAAGAGTTGTACATAAATATTTATTGACCAGAATGTTCACTGCAGCATTACTAATGAAAATGGGCACAACCTAATTATCCAAGATGGAATAATAAATTATATAATACCTTGTAATCATTAAAAATCTTGAGATATTTAACATGAAAAGGTCCTTAAAGTACATTAAGTATTTGGACGGTAATAGCTATTTTTTGTGATCCCAGAGGGCAGAACTAGAAACTACCACTGGAAACTACAGGGAAGCAGAGTTTGGCTCAATGTAAAGAATAACTTTTCTAAGAATTAGAATTTTTTAAGCAATGAATGGCCTGCTTCACGATTTAATGAGTTTTGTATTATTAGAATTCTAAGCAAAGGCTGAATGGTCACTTGGCAAAGAGATATATACTGATTTATATGTTAGGAGATTAAAGAGAAGATCTTAATGATCCTTTTCTACTCTAAGAACTTAAAATTCCATATAAAATTTTCCATGAGCTGCAATGTCAGGAAGAAGTTGTTGGTATTTCTTTCTAAATGCTATTAAAGACTCATGTGGCATTAAACTAAAAAGAGATTATTTAGTTGAAGGATGATTTACATTATCATATTCTGTACCAAAAATATACACATTATTGATAAAGTGAAAGATGATTAACCCAATGGAGAGGATTCAAACTGAATTGGCAGGAACTACATTTAAATCTACTCATTTTAATTTCTCTGTATCTAATAAAGAACTTGAACAGTTATACTTTTCCAAGGTGAGTTAGCACTACACATACCAAAAGGACAGGAGGCACTATATGCTTCCTCTGTTTGCTTCTGGCTGCTCTTTACTTCATATATAAATAGAGGAGCAATGAAATAAGACCGCCCCACTCTCCTCTGCAATTTAGTATATAATCTTTGAACTTTGGATGCACGAATAGTGGGCAGTGGGAAGAAACACAAGAACATGGTATCACACTGGGTTCCTAGAAAGCAGAAGCAAGCACTGGAGGCCTGTGAAATTTTTAGAATAATTGGTGATGTTCACAGTTCTTAGATGTCAAAAAGGAATCCCCTAAAAGATGCACTTTTTTTTTAAAAAATAACTTTTTACTATGGATATTTTTTCAAATACAAAGTAGAAAATAACATACTGAACCCACACATAACTATTGTTCAGCTTCATTCATCAACCTTTTGTTAAAGTTGTTTCCTCTAATTTTCCAGGGTTTTGGCTTTTTTTTTCAAGATCTAAAAACAAACACCTGACATCATACTATTTTACCTATAAAAACTTCAGTGTGAAAGGATACCCTTTCTTGCGAATAATACCAAGTATTCAATAAATGTTGGCAGCTATGGCTGGGTACTGTTCTATGCATTACAGTTGTACTTAAATTTTCAAATATGCTAAGCCTCATTATTACACCCATTTTGCAAATGAGAAAACTGAGTTTTTATTGGCTCAAGGTCACACAGCCAGTAAGCAGCGGAGCTAGGGTATGAACCCAGAAGTTAACTTTAGACTAGACTTTACTTTCCCAACCACTAAAGTATGCTTGCTGTCTTTCCTTTATATGCATTATTCCAGTTGTTCCTCATGGGATACAGATTACTATGGTAAAGTGGGAGAGGGACTGCTGAATGGGAAACAGATTGGAAAAGATGCTACAAACATGAGCAGCTGCTCACTGCTTTTCTTACGAAATTTTCTTTTCTAAATGCCCCAAATGAGAAAGGAAAATATAATTGGATATCATCAGTCTGAATTGCCTAGGACATAAAAGAAGGTCACTTCACAGAGGGAAAAGCAATGTTCAAGTCTCTTCCACAGAGGTTAAATATATACAAACTTCTTTTAATCTGCTCCTCCAATCAATGACCCAGGTGAAGGGGGTCTAGGCCAGTGGGAGAAGAATGTCTCTAGTTCCACAGCCAGACCTTTAAAATAGTTCAAACAAAGACAGCGCACAAGCAGAGAGCTGAGCAATCATTACAAGTAGCATTTGAATGCTTAATGAAATCTTTGACTAAAAAATAAAAGGACCTGGAATAAAAAATTCTTCTGGCCAATGTAGTTCTAAAACTACGAAATAATTAAAGACTTGTAAATAAAGGGGAGTCTCCTCTGAATCTTCGGCCAAAAGTTGCCCTAGTGATTTATGACAGATCTTCGAGTAACAGAATTATCTTCCCCATGGAGCCGACCTAGAGCATCCTCTTTCCCCACTTCCACTGTCCCCAAACACAAACAGAAGTGCTTCTTCCTTGCTCCTAGTGCACTTTATACATAATTCTATTAGAATTATATCTCTATTGATTAGATATATTCTAATCAATATTGTGGTATAATTATCTTTTCCTTCTCTGAGCTATCAATTCCCAGAGAGCCAGGACCCTACTTTGGTCTTTACATTTCCAATCCCTAATCCTCAAACCTAGCACCACTGAAAGTAGTTGAGAAAGGTTTGCTAAATGAACAAAGAAGCGGAAGATGACGGGATATGGAGCAATCTTTATGAGAAGGAATCCTTTTATCAGTACCTCTCTAATCTTGACACCTTCATTATAGCCCACAAGTTCCCCTCCCTTTAGGAGTTTTCCGATCAGCTACTAGTCCAGGATGAATAACACAGACAATAATCTCTTGAGGCCTGGAGAAAGAATCCAGTCATTTTGGTTTGTAAGAGCTTTTAGTGAACCAGGGAGAACTCAGCTTGAAGAATTTGGAAGGTAGTCAAAACCTTTTAAGAGCTTTTACTCAAATGTCAAGATGCAGAATGTATTTGAAATGCTTGCTTTTTACATTTAAATTCTAAAGGAAACAAGAAAAAGAAATAATTCTAAATAAAAAACTAACAATTACTAAGCAGCCCCTGGTCATCCACTTCTATTTTTCAAACAAAAAATTCCCTATCTAAAAAACTACAGGTCTGGTTTCAGCCCTCAACCATAGGGGAGCCACTCTTCACGTACTGGTATGAGTCTCCTTGGATCACCCTCTAATACTGGTTAGCCAAACCACTTAAGATCTTATTTGGTTAGGCAATCCCTTCAAGTAAAAATCTTTGGGTAAGACAGTTATCTCTCTCATCAATTTAAGAAAACTCAAAATAATCTCCCAGTTTAATCTGTATTACACTGGAAAAAAAAAAAATCCCATCCCATCTTTTACATGCCATTCTTTGGCTACCATGTTACCTTGGTTAGTGTCCTTCGGGTGTTCTATATGAGCAATGACTTCCTTGAGATAACTTTCCTTCTGCTTTTCTAGATCTGATTGTGAAAACGTCGGAACATTAGTCCTTGAACAAAGCAAACCAGAAGGAGGAAAAACAGTTCATTAGAACCATGAGTATAGTGCTTTGTAGAGAGAAGTCATATATTGCTGATCAGTTAGAACTAACTTTCAGAGGCAAAATAGTCTTTAAGATCCAGTGACAGAAGACAGTATTAGTAAAACGCTAAAATCAAGTATGAAGGTAAGAAAAAAAGGAAGATGAGAAATAGATACAAACTCCTGTTAACAGGGCATAAGAAAGTGAAGATTACCTAGTCCCTAGAGAAAGAAAGCACTTGTTGAGTAATTCAAGGTTAATCAGGACATAGCTAACTTGACAGAGCCACAGAAAAACCGAATTAGATAAAGACCAAAAAGAACCAACTGGGGCGCCTGGGTGGCTCAGTTGGTTAAACGACTGCCTTCGGCTCGGGTCATGATCCTGGAGTCCCGGGATCGAGTCCCACATCGGGCTCCCTGCTCAGCGGGGAGTCTGCTTCTCCCTCTGACCCTCTTCCCTCTCGTGCTCTCTATCTCTCATTCACTCTCTCTCAAAAAAAAAAAATCTTAAAAAAAAAAAAAAAAAAGAACCAACTGGATGTGGCAATTAGAATACTGGTGACCTTGGCAAGAACAACGTCTGGCCCTTGCTCATCCTGACTGCACTGATAACTGTGGAGTCAGTGAACGAGAATATTGAGATAGTAAGTACATAACTGCCCCAAGTAGCCTGACTTGGCTCCTTGGTATAATTTCCACTTTAAGTAATTCACAAAGTTTCCCTCAATTATGCAAACAAAACAAAGCAAAAAACCCAAAAAACTGGGGTTAGGGACAGTAGTCAAAGGGGACTTTCACCTTATTTTTAATATATTTAAAAAAATTTAAAGCAGTGGGGCGCCTAGGTGGCTCAGTCAGTTATGCATCTGCCTTTGGCTTGGGTTATGATCCCAGGGTCCTGGGATCGAGCCCCACATTGGGCTCCCTGCTCAGTGGGAAGCCTGCTTCTCCCTCTCCCACTCCCCCTGCTTGTGTTCCCTCTCTCGCTGTGTCTGTCAAATAAAGAAATAAAATCTTAAAATAAAATTTAATATCTGTATAATCAAAAAAAATTTTTTAAATCTCATTGTAAGGAAGCCAATCTGACTCCACCTAAAAAATAGCTTTGCTAATTGAGAAGGCCCATGTAGAGACACTGCCATCTCCTGGCAACAAGAGAATAGATTGAAAAGGTGACCCAAATCCGCAACCCCCACTATAATTTTTCCCCAAGCACAGTTGCATTCAAGTTGGGAGAGATGACAAAAGGATTTTTCTACATAATTGTATTTTAATATTTGTGTTAAAATTATTCTAACCTCCTGTCCTGTGACCAGGCTTCCCGATGCACAGGAAAAGAAATCTTACATTTATACAGTGCTTTTACTAATATGTCTTTTTTACTCCCAAAATAACCTTGTGAGGCAGCAGAAAAGGCATCATTAGCCTCATTTGTTGACAAATAAACTGAAGTCACAGATCATTTGACTTGCCCAAGGTCACAGAGCTACATGTTAGCGGTCCCAGAACTTAAAAGTATGTTTACACCTGGCACATGCTTTTACTCCACACTAAGGGGTAACTGAGGAGGGGAAGAAAGAAATTGAAGAGAACAAATAGAAACCAGAATATTATCATACTGTTACCTTCTTTTGGCTTGCAGAACAGGAATGACTTTGCCTAGTCTTCTCTCATGGACTTTAAGCTTCCCCGAATCCTTGTCAAGAACATCCTGCTTTCGTTCAGAGGAGAAGGAAAGATAATTATAAGGAAAAAGCTGAAAACACTATTGATGGACATATTCTTTTATTCTTAATAAAGGCTACAGAGGCATATTTCTGAACCCTCCTGTGTACCAGGCACTATGACAGATACTTTAAATGAGATAGTGACTGTAATTTTAAGGAAAAGGAAGAAACCCTAAGCGGTATGCCCATTTGATAGACAGGGAATCAGGCTCAAAGAGGTTAGGTAAATTGCCCAAGATTTTTCAGCTCTTCAGTGGCTGATCAGGTGCTATATCTCATTTAGCGTGGCAACCAAAGATTGAGACTTAAGCTGAAACCCAAAGAAGGGAAAAATAATAGTAAAATCATTATCTAAGTAATTATTCAATAAGTAGTAATTTAATATTATATACCAGTTACTATAAATACATTATTTCATTAATACTTACTATACTGTGAAGTATTTAGTACAATTTATAGATAAGAAATATGAGGAAACAGAGAGGCTAAATAATTTTACCAAGGTTACAGCTGTAGTCAGGATTCAACTCCCAATTTGTTTGATGAATACAAAGCTCTGCTATACAGCCTGTGAATGAAAATAATTTTTCTCTTTACATTGAAAAAATATACTTACTTTGTTTGATGAACTGGAAACAACCGGAAACCTCACTTCACAATTTGATTTATTTGATCCATTTTTCCAGGATGACCCCGTATTAGGAGTCTCAGAACGGTCCAAGATCTGAGAGAACACAGGTGTAGTTCTCTTACTGTCAGGTATATTTTTATCAGACACAGTTTGTTCAAAGTCATTGTCTGAAGGAGAAGAGAGTGGGGGCACATCCCAAGCAGAATTACTGGGACTGATCCCTTCAGACTCAGTGCAGAGTTTGTTCTCCTTTGGGCTAAGACCATCTTTTCTCATCTCTTCCCCAAGGGAGGGTTTTTCAGTATCTTTGGATGAATCAGTCTTGTCCTTATCAAGCACAGCATCACAAACTGTTGGATCAAATGGTGTAACAACTGTTATTTTTATAAGATTCTTTTCTAATGCAAAGTGTCTGTTTAATGGTTTAGTAGGAGTTGGTCCATGACCAACTGATGTACTTAGTTGAGGTAGTTTCAAGAGGCCAGGGGTCTCAGCTACTGGTCCCAAGCTATACAATGAATTTTTCTCTTGGGAAGTGTCAAATAGAATTTGACTCCCTTTCCCTTCCTTCTCAACACGCCTGCTATCATCTTTAAGGTCATCATCCTTCAAGAGCTCCTGAATATCTTCCTCTGTGAAACTAAAATGGCCATCATCTTCTTCTCCCTCAGACAGATCCAGCAAGGAGTCATCTAATCCATCCTCATCCAAGGAACCCCAAGAAAATGGGGCATTGTCTTTAGGCAAGAGAGAAGTTCCAGAAGACTGTTCAGAGGGCACAAGTGAGCACGTCATATCTGGAAAAATAAGAGGCAATTTCACTGAGGAACAGGAATTACCCCTATATCAACTTCAATCAGTTCTACAGTGGTGGTGTCCTGATATTTCGAATTCTTTGCACTGTGACTTGCAACATGAGAAATAATTTTAAGATATTTAACCTTACCAGGATCATGGAAATACACATTAGAACCGTGACATAATTTTCTTCCTAACAAAATAGTGAAAATTAGGATGACATAATATCTAAGTTGATAAGGATATAGGAAATAAGCATCCTCATACACTATCAGTATAAAAGGGTGTAAGTGAGCACAATATTTTGTGGAGAATAATTTGCAATACCATTTGACCCCACAATTTCAATTCTGTGAATTTTTCCTGCAGCAGTACCTATACAAATACATTTGTAAGGATGTTCAAAGCAGCATTATTCAAAAAGTGCCAAATATTGGAGACAACCTAAATGTCCATCACCAGAATTGCTCAGTGAAATCATGGTACATCCATACTATGGAATATTTTACAACTATTTAAAACATAATGAGGTAGATCAGTATATACTATCATAGAATAATATCCACAACATACAAATAAAACAAATATATATTATGTAAAATGTTTGGATTCTCACGGTTTATACTTTAAAAAAAAACAAATGTATAACTTTTAAAATTAAAAAAAAAAACTTTAAGAATATAAGAATAGTCTTCCATACTGTGTGGAGCTGCTGGTGTGATCTCTTTGCCACGAGACCAAATGGAAAAAGGTTTCAGCTCCTGCTAGCTGTTCCTTTCAGGAGACTTGTCAAAATGATTGACTCCCACCTTCCTGCAGGCACAAAGAAAATTAGAGGATCTTCTCATCACTTTCAACTCTGCTAATTACAAAGTCAACTGTATTATGTTTTAAGGTTCTCCACCTATTAATTTTGATCTTGATTTTTTTTTAAAATACCAGAAAGTTGGATTTTGAGTCAAGAACATCAAAGAAAAACCTTTAGAGGAAAAATTATGCAACTAAGGAACTAGTTTTGTTCCTTCCAACAATTTTGTACTTTCTTAAGAATATCATTTGCTCCAGTAAGATGAATACTGGCTTGGGAGTACTGAGACCTTGCTTGTAGTCCTGGTTCTGTCACTAACCAGCTGTAATAATTTGGGTAAGCCACTTAACCATTTGGACTTGTTTCCTCATTTATAAAAAATGGGGACAGGATGGAGAAGAGGGACGAGGCAATGTCTAAGATTCCACCAAGATCTACAAGTTAATCATGATCACACATGCCAAAGTCTCATTTTCAACTTATATATAAATGCAAAGAACAGATCCAGAAAAATATAAACACAAAACTGATGACTGTTATAACCTATGAGGGGACAAAGAAACATGAAGGGGAGACTTCAGTGTCATTCTACTTTTCTACTTGAATATTTGTAAATTACTTATATAATTAAAACCTAGCTTTTAAACAGTCAGTGATGGACCTAATCTAAATTATTTTCTAGATGGGAAAGGTGATAAAAAACTTCTATTTCATATATCATGTCAACATCTGAGAAGCTATAAGAAACGCTTAAACACTAAACTCAATAATTTGGAAAATTCCTTATTAGCCTCTGTGAATTTCCCCACACCCCGCTTTCCCTCCACTTCCTGATTTTAGCTTCAGCTCATGCATTCTTTCAGAAAACATTTTCTGAGCTAATATCATCACACAGCACTGAGCAAGATAACTGGTTTCTATAGGACTTCTTAAAAAATAAAGACATGGTTTCCATCCTTAAAGAATGTATAATCCAGACACCTGGGTGGTTCAGTCAGTTAAGTGTCCAACTCTTGATCTCAGCTCAGTCCTTGATCTCACAGTTGTTGAGTTCGAGCCCCACACTGGGTTCCCAGGACCCTGGGATCATGACCTGAGCCGCAAGGCAGCCGTTTAGCTAACTGAGCCACCGAGGCGCCCCTTAATGGGATTATTTTGAAGTCCCAGGCATCACATCATTTCATCTGTAAATAACAAGGATTCCTTTTCTTTTTTTTTTAAGATTTTTTATTTATTTATTTGAGAGAGAGAGAGAATGAGAGATAGAGAGCATGAGAGGGAAGAGGGTCAGAGGGAGAAGCAGACTCCCTGCTGAGCAGGGAGCCCCGATGTGGGACTCGATCCCGGGACTCCAGGATCATGACCTGAGCCAAAGGCAGTCGCTTAACCAACTGAGCCACCCAGGTGCCCCAATAACAAGGATTCCTTACCATAAAATATATGGTTCGGGTAACCAATTATTTTATAAATTATTTTCAAAGATTAAAAAAAATCAGTATCCAATAAGTCCACACACTGCAACTGGCTGATATGTTTTGTATTTTAATCTATATATTCCCCGTCTTTTTTTCCCCTTGCAATCTGTTAGAGAAACAATACCATATAGTGTATGGATACATATATCGTTAAATCATAAAAACTTGCATGGGAATAAGAAGCACAAAATTCAGGACAGTGGTTACCTCTGGTAGTGGAGAGGGAAGAGAAATGGCAAGGGGGCATGAGTACCTTCAATTCTATCTATAATGTTTTATTTCTTTAAAAAAATGAACAAAAAAGACCTATAAAAAATATGGCAAGGGGGACCTGGATGGCTCAGTCAAGAGTCTATGACTCTTGATCTTGGAGTTGTGAGTTTGAGCCCCACATCGGGCGCAAAGAAATTACTTTAAAAATATATATATGGCAGGGTGCCTGGGTGGCTCAGCTTGTTAAGCAACTGACTCTTTTTTTTTTTTTTTTTTTTTAAGCAACTGACTCTTGATAGCAGCTCAGGTCTCGGTCTCAGGGTTGTGACTTCAAGCCCCGTGTTCGGGCTTAAAAAAAATAAAGGGCAACATAATGAGACAGGGAAACCATTTTAGAAAGATTCCATTTCTGCTGTTTTTCTGCTAAGTCCCGTTTACTCATCTTCTATATTTTGCATCTGAGTAAAACAAAGAATCTATGTTGCCACTCCAAGGGGAGATAAGAAACTTAATCATTCTCTAAGTTCCATCCTAGGCCTTAAACACCTGATAACATCTAAGAAGAACCAGATCCCAAACATGTTCCCAGACATTAGCTTAAAACAAACCTTGGTTGACACTGGCATCGATACCCCCTACCTTCAGTGATTTATGGAATAACACCTATTGTTCACCTTACACTCACCTTTGATCGGAGGCTTCCTCGGGTCCCTGAAGGCACATGTACCCTGGACTCCTTTCCACTATAAACCCATAACCTCAAGTGACAGAGCGACTTACTTTTCATTTTCGGAGTGTCCCAGACACTCCATCTGCTATACTCTATCACACTATTCAATGAACTCTGCTCTCACTTCCTCCTGGCTCCCATTTGATTCCTATTCTGCACAAAGCCAAGGACCCTGGTTGGCTGGTATCTGAGAGACCCCCTCTGAGTACTGGGATTCAGCCTGCCTACATCGATAAAATAAAGCTGAATGGTGTGATAATGGTATCATTATGTTACTTCCTATCCATTTTATATGCTTAGAATATTTAATAATAAAAATATTTTTAGGAGCGCCTGGGTGGCTCAGTAGTTAAGCGTCTGCCGTTGGCTCAGGTCATGATCCCAGGGTTCTGGGATCGAGCCCCTTCCTGCTCGGCAGGAAGCCTGCTTCTCCCTCTCCCACTCCCCCTGCTTGTGTTCCTGCTCTCGCTATCTCTCTCTCTGTCAAATAAATAAATAAAATCTTTAAGAAAATATAGTTTTAAATTAAGAAGTCAGTAGAGAAAGACAATGATTACATTCTGTAGTTTAAAATGTCCTCTCCTGGGCGCCTGGGTGGCTCAGTTGGTTAAGCGACTGCCTTCAGCTCAGGTCATGATCCTGGAGTCCCGGGATCGAGTCCCGCATCGGGCTCCCTGCTCGGCAGGGAGTCTGCTTCTACCTCTGACCCTCCCCCCTCTCATGCTCTCTATCTCTCATTCTCTCTCTCTCAAATAAATAAACAAAATCTTTAAAAAAAAAAGTAAAAAAAAAAAAGTCCTCTCCTATACAACAGGGACCATCACAGTAGCTACCTCATAGTGTCGTTGCCAAAATTAAATGAGACCATGAACTAAAGCACTTCAAGTACTACAAGCACAATGGAAAAGCTCAGTAAGTAGTGGCTACAGTTTCTATTTCATCCCACCATCATCACCTCCCTGACCCCTAAAGAGGTCTTAATGAAGCATAGGAATGGTAGGAAAGGATGTTAATCTAGTTGAGAACTTCCCCTAGGTGCTTGCTTGTTAGAAATTATCTAGTATACCCTAATTTCTTTTAGTTTAACCGAACATTCAACCATATTGCCACTGAGTTAATTAAAGACCAGGCTGTGTGGACATCTGAAATATCAGGCAAATCCTTTGAATTAATAGTTACTGAAGTAACAGAAGAGGGACTGAGCTAAATTCAGAGACCTCACAAGTCACTTAAAAGTCTCTGAACCTCAATTCAGATGAGAACACTCATCTGAAAAATGGGGGATGCAATTATATGCCTTTAACTTCAAATACAGATTATCACGAGGACCAAATGAGGGGATGTTTACGAAAGCACTCTAAACCTAAAAGCCCTATACTAAAGTTGATATTTAATGAATTTGCAAAAGGGGGGGAAATCTCAGATAAAATTAAGGTCTAAAGTGAATTTCCACAAGACAGCCTTAGCGCCTGTCTGCCATTCTACCATTAACTGCCTTTCTTGGCACTTGTTTTGTAACTTCCACCTAAAATGAGGATCTCTTTATTTTTAAGGAAAGAATATTTTTCCATCTCCCAAGTCTATATCTTAATTCCTCTGCTCCCCATCCCTCCTGTGACCCTATTCTGTCCTTCCACATCTCTCTCACCTGTCCACCCCCTTCTTCACACTTCAGTTTACCACCCCCTCGCTCTGTTCTCTAACCACCTAGCTGCAACCTCAGGAACTGGTTCCCTTTCTATTTTTATGGTACCTAAGAAAACCTATTGCCTTAGAGCACAAAGCCTTTATTTTATTCAGGCCACTAAAATTGCAACACCAGACACAACCCTATATCCCTCTTTCAAGGTTCTAAAACCAAGACCATTACCAAGCTAGATCTGATAGGTATGGCCAAGGGCAAAGATTATTTCCAAGGGACAGGTCTTTGATTTCCAACCTTCCCTAATAGGCAATACATGTGCAGCGCACAGCACAAAAGGCACTCACTAGGCTTTATCACTCCATAAAATGGGCATAACACTTAAAATCAAAGTGAACTGAAATTATCTGTAAGAATTCTGCAACTTCCTTTGAAGTAAATGGAAATACTGTAGGACACAAAAACAACCTAGGGCTGGAAATCTCTGCTTTAGGTTAACATTTCACTAGATATGGATTCCAGGATTCTCATTCCACAGGGGCATAGAAACTAAGTATTACTAAGCTACAGCACAGATTTCTTTTTAAAAAGAAAATGTTTTAATTCAGACAGGATAGCTAAAGCTTGCAGCCTCTAACAAATCCACAAGAAACGAGATCAGCAGGTAGGCAATTCAATCACTTCTTTCCCCTCTCCGGGGCCCACCCTGCGGTGCCAGCTGCCTTCCCTCCCTCCCAGGAAGTAACCGGTGACACCTCCAGTTCCGAGAGCCAGGAGGAAGGGTGACCCATGTCCACCCTTCGTAGGATACTGCTTGGTCTGCCCCCTGCTCTCCCCCAGAAACGCGACGGCCTCAGCACGGCATCGCCCTCGGGGCCAGGCCTTCGCACTTCCCTCCTCCCTCCCCCGAAAACATCGAGAATTCCCGCCACCCCGCGGAAGGCGGGAGAAGCGCCGGCTGCCTCCCCGCCCCTCCCCCCGCAGGAGCCAAACCAACCCCTCAACAGGCCTGCGAGATGCACCGCTCACCCGGAGGGTAGCCACCCACACCCACACCTCGGTGGGACTGAGGCCCCGCCAGCCCAAGGGGTGGGTCATCCTCTCCCTCCCCCACCCGCAAGGCGCGGCGGGAAAATCTTCTCCCTAGCAACAGCCCCCCCCAAGTGGGGCAGGGGAAGCTGCACCCCCAACATACCTAACACACCCATCCTCCCCCACCCCCACTGGGCAGGGAGACTGACAGCACTCCCCGCCTCGCAGGTGACCCGACGGCCTCCCTCTTCCTCAGCAGGGCGAGGGGCATCCACCGCCCGCCGACGTGGAGGTGGGGCGCAGGGACACTCCCCCTACCGCCGCCATCACCTCAGGAACGACAACCAGCCCTCTCCCAGCAGAGCGAAGGCCTCCCAACCCTTCAACGGGGTGGACGGGCATGTACGGCCCCCTGGAGAAGCAAGAGGCGCCCCCATCCCCCTCCCAGCCGGGAACGCAAACCCCCTCGTCCCTCCCGCGTTTCACCTCCGGAAGCGGGGCCGAAGCCTGGGCGAAAGACTGCGCCTCACTCCGCCCCCTGCGCCATTTTATCGCCCCCTCCCCGACCTTCCCCACCCCCAGGCAGCCGGGCCAGCGCAGGGGGGAGGGCAAACAGGCAGTGATTGGCAGGAAACCGCCCCGCCCCTCAGGGGGTTGTTCCCCGCGCAGACGCCGCAACCCCGCCCTCTGTGCCGCCTAGCCTTCCTACTGGCTCCGCCCCTTTCTCGTCTCATCGACGCGCTCGACTCTCAGTTGCTCCTGACTCTTTCCTGTCCGCTCTTAGGCTAAGGGTTCAGGCCGAGGAAGCCGAGCGACGAGCTCAGCTGATGCAACCTACCTGGGCCCGCGTGACAGTTCCCGGCACGCGGCGGCGGCGGCGACCGAGGAAGCGGCGCGGTGCCGGGCTGAGCGCGGGAGATAGGGGTGACGGAGTCATGGGGGACGCTCCGAGCCCTGAAGAGAAGCTGCACCTTATCACCCGGAACCTGCAGGTCGGGCCTCAGACTTGGAAACGCGCTGTTGGGGACTGGGGGCTCGAGGTCCAGTGACCCTGAGCCTCACTACTGGGTCCTAAGTGTGTGGGGTCGGGGACTCCGCGCCGAGGCAGCTCAGAGAGACTACAGCCCTCGCTGCTGGTTGGTCGGTCGGCCAGTCAATCAAGCAGCAATTTTCTGGGTCGCAGAGAAATGACAGTGGGGCTCACCTCCGGTGTGCAGTTACCTTGTGTTGAAACCAGCTTTGAATTCAGGACTCCCACCCCTCCCACCCTGTTATGTGCCAGGCGCGGTGCTAGGCAATGGGGATACGTCAGGGCCCTGCCCTCACAGGGCTTGTCTGGAGGGAATCAGACGTTAAGAATGACCCATAATTCAAAAACTTAGTTACAGTTTGAAACAAGTACTGTAAAGTACTATCCGTGGAGCTTTGGAAGGAATTTAGGGGAGAGGGCTGGGGGAGTGTCAGGGAAGGCTGAGGAAGTGACCTCTAAACTGCGCCTTGATGATGCAAATCACTTCACATCTGTTCCTGCTGTTTCCAGGAACTGCAGGAGTAGAAGTAAATCACAAGAAGAATGGCTTGGGGGGCATTTTAGGTAGAAGGAAGCCAGGTCCAGACCCAGAGGGGAGAAGGAACACTGGTTCAGAGGGAAGGTTGATTTGGCTGGAGTAGAGTGAACAAAGTGCAGATCAAACACTTAATAAATATATATTGCTCATTTCCTTGCCTCCTTCAGGCCTATTGTCACATTATCGGGAAGGTCTTTCCTGACCACTTTATTTAAATAACAAACCCCCTGCCACCAGAATTGTCTCATCCCTTGTTCTAGCCTTTTTTCATTGTTGTTTCTCCATAGAACTTATCACCATCTGACATACTATGTATTTTACTTGTTTGTTGAGAAAGGGTAGGCAGGGACCAGGTCATGAGGGCTTTGCATGCTGTGTTTAAAAGTGAAGTTTATTCTAAGAGCAGGGATATATTGGTTGGGCCACAGCTTGTTTTTTTTTTTTTTTATCTTTTTTTGAGATACAATTCAAATACCAAAAAATCCATCCTTTTAAAGTGTACATTTCGGTGGGTTTTAGTATCGTCACAAGATTGTATAATTAGCACCACTATCTCATTCCAGAACATTTTCATCATGAAAATAAAACCTGTACCCATTGGCAGTCACTGCCCATTTCCCCCCTCCTGGCAGCTCTAGGGAAACACTAATCTTCTTGCTGTCTTTAATTTGCCTATTCTGGACATTTCATATGAATGGCATCATGTGATATGTGGCTTTTTATGTCTCATTTCGTTCCCTTAGCATGTTTTCAAGGTTCATCCATGTTGTCATACCCATCAGAACTTTATTCCTTCTTATGGCTGAAAAATATTCATGATTATATGGATATATCACATTTTGTTTCTCCATTCATCAGTTGGTGGGCAGTTGGGTTCTTTCCACTCATAACTTCATCTTAACCAGTAATTTTTGCATGTTTCCTCTTAGCCAGATTCTTTGTCCTAGTCTCTTTCCACAAAACAATGCTGGTTGGGGACAAAGGATACACAAAGCTAATGGCATTGACTCACTCAGGTTTTAAAGGGTAAGTGGTAGGACCTTTCTTTGGGTGGCAAGAACTCTCCCAAGTTCCAAATAGTCAGGCTTGGAGGGTGCAAGCTCCAGCCACCAGCTACCTTAAAACAGGATTTTAATAAGTCCTGCTGATAGATGAGTAAAACCAGCAAAACAGTTTTCGTCTTTCATGGCTTCTAACTGCTTCCCCAAACCATCACTTGGAAGAAACACTAAAATCTCTTTTATTAGCAGCATACTGACCTATTAGGATTTTTCTAATATTGTCTTCAGGCAAAAGGAAACCATTAAATATTAAATAGGTGAATGAGTTGATTAATCAAGTTTTGTGTTTTAGAGATTTCTCTGGCTGCCTTCTGGAACATGGACCAGGGGGCGCAAGAATAGATACAGGAGTCCTGGTGTGATCTGGTGTGGCCTAGTGGCCTAGACTAGGATGGTGGTATGGAGGCAGAGAGAAGGAGAGGGTTTAGGAGCTTTGGGGTAACTTAGGCAACTTGGTGAATGATAGTACCATTTACTGCACTGGGGTGAAACTATAAGTGAAAAAGATGGCTGGGGAGCGAGGCGGGAAGATGAGAGCATGAGGTTAATTTTGAACATGTTGAGTTTGAATTAACTGGGTTGATAACAAGTACATTGTCCCATATATGGGTGTGAGAAGGAGATTTGGTAGTTACTAGCTCATAAGTAGTAATTGAAGCATCTTAAAAGGGATCAGCTAGGGAAAATGTAGAGTAAGAAGAGGAGAGATAGGGCTGCAAGGATTGCTAATATTTAATGATTAGCAAGAAGAACAGCTGCAAAGAAATCTGAGCCAGCAGCCAGAGAAGTAGGAGGAAAACTAAGAGAATAGAAAAGTGGACCAAAAGAGGGGAGTGTTTCAGGGATGGAGTGAGGACTAAAAAAATTTTCATTGAATTTGGCAACAATGGGAGTCATCCGTGATCTTAGCCAGAGCATTTTTAGTGGGGTGATGCTGTATGGAATTCAACTGGAATGGGAGATGAGGAATAAAGACCGGAAGAAGAGACAACTATTTCAAAAAGTTGGCTCTGAAAGGAAGGAACGTGAGTTAGAGTAGATGGGGGGGAGGATGCAGGTAGGGACATGTCCCATGCCCTAACATCAGTAGCATTTCACTGGAGTGGTACTAGCAACAGCACCAACTTAGGTTGGTTCTCACTCAGCCCTGAGAGTATGGTTGGACTTCCCTGCTGGCTCTGGGCTTAGACCCCCAGTGATACGTGCTTTTGTTTTCCTTGTCACAGGGTAAAGGATGAGCAAGGTGGGGCACCAGCATTAAACCAGCTCTTCTGCTTCCACAACAGGAGGTTCTGGGGGAAGAGAAGCTGAAGGAGATACTCAAGGAGCGGGAACTTAACGTTTACTGGGGAACAGCAACCACAGGCAAGCCACATGTGGCTTACTTCGTGCCTATGTCTAAGATTGCGGACTTCCTGAAAGCAGGATGTGAGGTAAGAAGTAATGTTTTATAAACCAAGCAGTTCTTTGGGGAATGGCCAAAAGAGAGATTTAACAAGGGCAGAGCAGAGAGGGGGATTTGGAGGTACTTGGACGAAATTCAATTTTGTTGGTCCCTCATCTCTTATGTCCAGGTAACAATTCTGTTTGCGGACCTTCATGCGTACCTGGATAACATGAAAGCTCCGTGGGAACTTCTAGAACTCCGAACCAGCTACTATGAGAATGTGATCAAGGCAATGCTGGAGAGCATTGGTGTACCCTTGGAAAAGCTCAAGTTTGTCAAAGGCACTGATTACCAGCTTAGCAAGTAAGTTCTAGATCATCCACTCTCCTTGTGGCTCTCATGCTACTACCTAATTAGAGGTCTGTGGAGTCCAGGCACTCTTTAAATTTGGATTAGAAGCCATTAAAAAATTTATACTCTTTGTCCTTTAAGTCATCCATCAAAAATGTCCTTAATGCCTGTATACTGTCCATTTTGCTGGAGATATGAATGTAACCAAAACAAAGTCCTTGGCCTTGTAGAGCTCACAGCATATGGGCGAATGATGATCAACAATTCAGCTTCCCTTTTTCCTTCCAGCCTCAGCAAATAATGATTAAAGAAAGGTGAAAGAAAAATATTTCACTTGTTTCTCATCTCCCCAACAATTTTTTTTTCAAGATTTTATTTATTTATTTGACAGAGAGACAGCGAGAGAGGGAACCCAAGCAAGGGGAGTGGGAGAGGGAGAAGCAGGCCCCCTGCTGAGCAAGGAGCCTGATGTGGGCCTCTATCCCAGGACCCTGGGATCGTGACCCGAACCAAAGGCAGATGCCCAACGGACTGAGCCACCCAGGCAACCCTCCCCAACAATTTTTATTTCTTTATATCTTTATCAATTTTATTCATATTTGTAATATTAACATAGATACGATTTTGTGTCCTAGTTTTTTTAATTTGAGTAATTTCCTAAGTAATTCCTCCATGCTGCCTCATAGTCCCCACATTTTTTTATTTTTAAAAACTCAGTTAAGCCATGTATCACTCCACTGGTCACTTTTGCATTTGAACCCTTAGAACAGCTTATTAAGGTAAGCATTGGTGTGTCCTATTTCACGGATAAGGAAAACAGATTCAGTTGTAACTTTCTCAAGTTCATACTCACTGTAAGTAGAAGAGCTAGGATGTGAACCCAGATCTCTTGCTTACAAGTTCATTTCTCTTTTTACTTCATTGATCATAATTTTTTTTTTTTTTAAGGTTTTATTTGAGAGAGAGAGAGAGAGAGTGCGAGTTGGGGGAGGAGCAAAGGGAGAGGGAGGGACAAGCAGACTATGTTGAGAGCAGAGCCCGACACGGGATCGATCCCATGACCCCAAGATCAGACCTGAGCCAATACCAAGAGTTGGACACTTAACTGACTGAGCCACCCAGGCACCCCGATTGTAATTTTCTTTAGCATTCCTCACTGTTGGACATTTAGAGTTTGAAATAAGGCACATAACTTTCTTATGTAAACAGATGTTTGAATCCTCGGCCTCAGTAGAGGCCCTACAATTTCATTTATTTTTACGTTTGTTACAGATATTTATGGAGCACTTATTAGATGGCAAGCACTGTTCTGGGTCCTGAGTATACAAAAATATACTAAAACAAAAATCCCCATCCAAATGGGGCTTACGTTTCAGCAAGGAAATACAGTCAAAGGAAACAAATGAAAAAGTAATATATATAAACTGTGTCAGATGGTGATAGGTGCTACATAGCAGGCAGGCAGGAGAGAAAGTTCTTGGGGATTGGGGGGTTTCTATTTAAATATGGTGGCTAAAAAAGACCTCTATAATAAGAAGACATTAGACTGAGACCTGAAGAAGGTGAGGGAGTGAGTCATGCAAACAGTTACTGAGTTCTTACTATATGTCAGACTCTGTTCTAGGTCCTAGGATTATAACAGTGAATGTCTCAGGGAAGGTTTTTTTTTTCTCCCAGAATTGAACAGAATTTGGGGTTTGGGAAGATAGGATACATAAATAAAGCTACCTTGCTTCAAAGTCACTTGATCTTTTTGTATACACAAAAGTGACTTCAAAGGAAGATGTCTTTTTAAGTATATGCTTTCATATACTCCCTCTGTTCCAGACAACAGCAATGATAGACAAAAACATTAAAAAACCGGAGGACATAGCCAGATTCAAAGACATGCTAAAAATCTCTGTGGTTAGAAAACAGAATTGAAATGCAAATTGATGAGTTGGTCTGAAGTTACAGGTTTGCTCGGTTCCAGTCAAGAAGCAGACAGTGGGGACAAACCAGGCTTACTGGTTAAAGCCAGAGTATAAAGCAGGGCTTTTACCCTTTTCCCATTCCCATCCCTACCCCTCAAGGAAAGTAGAGCCAAGGAGTAGGGGCACTATTAGTCACCTGCCTGGGTCTTTAGGGACTTTTGTCAAGCTTCAGGCCTATGGAAACTCGACTGTATGCATACCAGGAATTAAACCAAGCTGACCACCATTTATGAGTGTTATATCCATGATAGTACCTAAAAGACGTAAGTTCTAACATGCCAAGGAATAGCATCCATTTTTAAAAAGAAAATGATTAAACAGAGAGAGGCAGAGATGAAACATATATATAGAAATAAAAAGAATCATTTAGAAATCTTGGAAATGTAAAAATCAGTCATTAAAGCTAAACCAAACCAAACCAAACCAAAAAACCCCACAGGGGCACCAGGCTGGCTCAGTTGGAAGAGTTCACAACTCTTAATTTCAGAGTTGTGAGTTCAAGCCCCACGTTGGGTATAGAGATTATAAATAAATAAACTTTAAAACAAAAACCAAAAAACTCCACAAACCAGCCTTCAATAGAAGGCTTCAACTCTAGACTGAACAAAGTTGAAGAGAAATCTAGAGATTTGAGAGATAGTACTGAGATTCACCCAGAATGCAGCCCAGAGAGATGGACAGAAAAACTGTAGGAGTGTTTGAGACGTGGATGAGGGCGTTTGCTTCCAGCAGTGTGGCACACTGGGTACTCGGACCAGCCTTACTACTGAAAACAACTAAAAATGCAGGGTAAAATATTTTTTTTTTTTTAAAGATTTTATTTATTTATTTGAGAGAGAGAGAGAATGAGAGATAGAAAGCACGAGAGGAAAGAGGGTCAGAGGGAGAAGCAGACTCCCTGCTGAGCAGGAAGCCCGATGCGGGACTCGATCCCGGGACTCCAGGATCATGACCTGAGCTGAAGGCAGTCGCTTAACCAACTGAGCCACCCAGGCGCCCCAGGGTAAAATATTTTTTAAACGTTCTGAATGCTTCAGATCAGTCAGTTGACAAATTAGTCAAGAATACTCAGTGGCCAGAAATCAAACGTAAGTGGGAATACGAAGATATTTTATTTCAGGGGTGCCTGGCTGGCTCACTCAATAGAACATGCACCTTTTGATCTCGGGTTTGTAAGTTCGAGCCCCATGTTGGGTGTAGAGGTTGCTTAAAGATAAAATCTTAAAAAGAAAAAAATCTTAAAAAAAAAAAGATACTGTATTTCAACTAATCTAAGATGTCATTAAAAATACGGCTGATTAGGGGCACCTGGGTGGCTCAGTCAGTTAAGCCTCTGCCTTCGGCTCAGGTCATGATCCCAGGGTCCTGGGTTCGAGCCCCGCATTGGGCTCCCTGCTTGGTGGGAAGCCTGCTTCTCCCTCTCCCACTCCCCCTCCTTATGTTCCTGCTCTCTCTCTCTGTCAAATAAATAAAATCTTAAAAAAAAAAAAAAATACAGCTGATTAGTCTCTAACATGCCAGTGTTTAAAAGACTTATCTAGATTTTGAAGATATTAAATACTTTTTTTAAATGCAAAAAAATGCGTTTTGTAATCTGTAAAATATAATTCGTGGAATGCTAAGACTACTAGCGCCTCAAGAGACCTCATTGAACTATATGGGATTGAACTTTGGTTTCAATGGCCTCACAGAGCACAGTGGAAAAAAAAAGAAAAAGCTAAGAAAATTGGAGTATTAGGCCAGGAGGTCCAATATTTGAATAATAAATGGTATGGAAAAGGGAACAAAGAGTCAGAGAGAAGGAAATCATCAATGAAATAATTTATAGAACAAGTAAATGAGTGTCCAGAGTGAAAGGGCCCATCAAGTGCCTGGCACGCTGGATGAAAATAAACCCATGCTACAGTGCACTATCTTGAAATTTCACAACACTAAGGACAGAAAAAAGGGGGGAAAATAGTATACTACAAACTTCCAGAGGGACAAAAGAAGTCACATAAAAATTTCAGGAATCACAATAGCTTTGCATTTCTCAAAAGAACACAGAGGGTGATGAAGCAAAGCCTTTGAACTTCTGGAGGAGGGACACCTGGCTGGCTTGGTCTACTGATCTTGAGGTTGTAGGTTCAAGCCCCATGTTGGGTGTAGAGATTACCTAAAAATAAAAACTTTATTTTTTTTTAAAGATTTTATTTATTTATTTGACAGAGAGAGACGCAGCGAGAGAGGGAACACGAGCAGGGGGAGTGGGAGAAGGAGAAGCAGGCTTCCCGCTGAGCAGGGAGCCCGATGCAAGGCTTGATCCCAGGACCCTGGGACCATGACCTGTGCTGAAGGCAGATGCTTAACGACTGAGCCACCCAGGCGCCCCTTGACTCTGTAGTTTCTGACAAAGAATATAGGATATTAATCCTTGCCAGTTATATATGTTTTCAGTATTTTCTCCTAGTTGGTGGCTTGTCTTTTTACTTTATTTTACTTCTGATGTACTGAAGGTCTTAATTTTAACTTGAATTCATCAATATTTTCCTGTGATTTGTGTTTTTGGTGTGTTTTATTGAATTTTCATTGCCCTGAGATTGTAAGATAGTCTTATATATGTACAGTCTTTTAAATGTTTTATAGTTTGGCCTTTGCAGTTAAATCTTTAATCTAGTTGGAATGGAGGGATCATTTTTTCCCCATATGGATAACTAATTGTCTTTGTACCACTTTCTCTTAAAAAGTTTATCCTTTCTTTGCTGATCTGCAATGCTGGCTCTGTCATAAATTAAGTTTCCATATTTATGAGGATCTATTTCTGAATTCTCTATTCTGTATCAGTGGTTAATTCTCTATCCCCATGCTGTATAAATGACAAAGGATTTGCTATCCAGAATACTAAGGAACTCCAAAAAAAGAAAAAGTAGAAAAATGGGCTACTTACATAGATACTTCACAGATGAGGATACATAAATGACCAATAAAAACATGAAAATAACTTTTTTTAGATAAAGATATTCAGATATTTTACTCTTACACTTGAATGGTAGTTCAGGTGGGCATTGGTTGCAAACCGTTTTCCTTGAAAATTTTATTTTTTCTTTTTAAGATTTTATTTTGGGGCGCCTGGGTGGCTGGTTAAGCATCTGCCTTGGGCTCAGGTCATGATCCTGGGGTCCTAGGATCAAGCCCCAAGTTAGGCTCTCTGCTCAGCGGGGAGCCTGCTTCGCCCTCTCTCACTCCCATCCCTGCTTGTGCTCTCGCTGTCTCTCAAATAAATAAATAAAATCTTTAAAAAAAAAAAAAGGAAAGACATAAAAATCAAGTGGTATTTTGTATAAGACAAAGAACCAGTCACATTTTAGAAGCTACCAGGCAGCAGAGGTCTTTTGGAATGTCTTAAGATTGGGAGAGTGAATTAATGTGCTTTAGGATCAGAGTGAGGCCTTGGCCCAATCTCACAGCTGTCCCCACCTCCTTTCCTCTTCAGAGAGTACACACTAGATGTGTACAGACTCTCCTCCGTGGTCACACAGCACGATGCCAAGAAAGCTGGGGCTGAGGTGGTAAAGCAGGTGGAGCACCCTTTGCTGAGTGGTCTGCTGTACCCCGGATTACAGGTACTCGGGAGGGACGGAGTTGCCCAAGGCCTTTTCTGCTCTGGTTCTAGCTACTGGTCACTCAGCCCCAGTGAAGCCCAGGTACTTCCTGTTCCTTCACTAGGCCTTCCTTCCTGTCTCTCTCCCCTCCCCTTTGACATCTTCAGCTGTAGGTCCTCCCCCATCTGTCTGCACTTTAAAACACTGCTTGTCTGACACATCTTTTTTTTTAATTTATACATCAGTTTATTTGCAGATTGTATATTTTTTTCTTTTTTTTCTTTTTTTAAGTAAGCTCTATGCCCAGTGTGGAGTTTGAACTCACAACCCTGAGATTAAGAGCCGCACCCTCCACTGACTGAGCCAGCCAGGTGCCCCCAGATTTTATATATATATATATATTTTTTTTTTTTAATAGGGAAATGCATTTTTTTCATCTTTATTGTATCATTTATCATTGAGGGGAGGATAGGAGGTTTTGTCTTTTTATTTATTCCATTATTTCTCTTTCTTGGAGAATCTCTGTTTTACTTATTTAGCTGAACTTTACATGAAAGAATTTAAAGAATACTTTTTTATTTTAAATGCTTGGGGAATTTACAGAGTTATTTTCCTGGATCGGTAATTTTTATGTGTTTTCTTATAAAGTGCATTTCGGTTAACAAATCTGTTTACACAGGTATACATGGGAATTCACACCAGTTATTTACAGATCATACTGACAAACCACATTGTAAGTCTTCTATACAGAGGTACACTGGATGTGACTATTGGCTGAAAATGGCCTGATGACTAGGCTTTTTACACATACATAGTAAATGGGTTTGTTTTTTCATGTCTGCAGAATATGCCAAACACACGGAGGCCAGTCCTCCCAGAGAATGCTTTGCAGTGTCACATATCCTCTTTATGTTGATCATGATCTCTTAAATGAAGAAAATTTCAGAGTGATGTGTAAAAATAAATTTTAGGCGGGGCACCTGGGTGGCTCAGTCAGTAAAGCAGCCAGCTCTTGATTTCCATTCAGGTCATGATCTCAGGGTTGTGAGATCAAGCCCTGCATCAGGCTTCACGCTCAGTGGGGAGTCTGCTTGAGATTCTCTCTCTCCCTCTTCCCCCACCATGCGCACATGTGTGCGTGCCGTCTCTCTCTAAAATAAATCCTTATTTTATTTATTTTTTAAGATTTATTTGACAGAGTGAGAGAGCACAATCAGGGTAAGCCTCAGGCAGAGGGAGAGGGAGAAGCAGGCTCCCTAGGACCCTAGGATCATGACCTGAGCCAAAGGCCAACACTTAACTGAGCCACCCAGGCACCCCATAAAATAAATAAATCTTTTTTTTTTTTAAAGATTTATTTGACAGAGGGAGACACAGCAAGAGAGGGAACACAAGCAGGGGGCGTGGGAGAGGGAGAAGCAGGCTTCCCGCCGAGCAGGGAGCCCGATGTGGGGCTCGATCCCAAGACCCTGGGACCATGACCTAAGCCGAAGGCAGACACTTAACAACTGAGCCACCCAGGTGCCCCATAAAGGAATCTTTAAAAAACAAAACAAAGTAAAATAAATAAATTTTAGGCATGATCCTATTTTCTATTAAATGAAGCACATCATATTTCATGTGTGTGTATTTATATGAGCAAGGAGAAAGAGAAAAATTCAAACCAAATTGTTAATATTGGTAGCTAGCTCAGAAAGCTAGGACAAAAATGGTATAGACCACAGGGCACCTGGGTGGCTCAGATGGTTAAGCGTCTGCCTTCGGCTCAGGTCATGATCCCAGGGTCCTGGGATCGAGCCCCGCATCGGGCTCCCTGCTTGGTGGGGAGTCTGCTTCTCTCTCTCCCTCTACTGTTCCCCCTGCTTGTGCTCTCTCACTCTCTCTGTCAAATAAATAAATAAAATCTTAAAAAAAAAAAAAATGGTATAGACTTAACTTTTTCTTTGTATATATATATTTTTAGATTTTTATTTATTTATTTATTTACGTATTTGAGAGAAAGCAAGCGCACATGCAAGTGGGGGGGTAGGGAGAGGGAGAGAGAGAATCCTCAACCAGACTCCACACTGAGCTCAGAGCCCAATGAGGGCTCCATCTCACAACCCCGAGATCATGACCTGAGCTGAAACCAAGAATCAGACACTTAACTGACTGAGCCACCCAGGCGCCCCTCTTCGTGTATGTCTGTAACGTTTGATATAAGAGGGGTACCTTTGCTCCTCCTCCCATTCACATGCACTCTCTTCCTCGCTCTCAAATAAATAAATAAATAAAATCTTTTAAAAAAAATCTTTGGTAGAAGAATATCAAGTCTAACCTCATCACCTCCAAAAGAACTTTCTACGGGTTGAGCCTGGACACGTTCTAGATCTGCACTGCCCCCATGGTAGCCTCTCCTCTAGTCATGGTCATGTGTGGCTATTAAAAATAATTAAAATTAAAATTTTTAGGTTTCAGTCACATTGGCTGTATTTCAGGTGCTCACAAGCCACATGTAGCTGGTGGCTAACCTATTGAACAGCACAGACATAGAACATATTCATCATTCCAGAATATTATAGTGGACAGTGCTCTTCTAGATTATTCCAGCTTGGGGTGCCTGGGTGGCTCAGATGGTTGAGCGTCTGCCTTTGGCTCAGGTCATGATCCCAGGGTCGTGGGATCGAGCCCCGCATCAGGCTCCTGGCTCAGCGAGGAGCCTGCTTCTCCCTCCGCCTCTCTCCCTGCTCATGCTTTCTCTCTCTGTATCTCTGTGTCTCAAATGAATAAATAAAATCTTTAAAAAAAAAATAGATTATTCCAGCTTGCTCACCTTTCTCTTCCTCTCCCCTCCTTTCAATGAGACATGAAATCATACCAGTTCTACTTTTAAAATTTCTTAAATGTGTTCTTGTTCTACATCCCTGCTGACCTGGTTTGGCATCGTTTCCTACCTGGACTCTCACGGCAGCCTCCTCACTGTCTTGTCTCCAGTCCAAAGGGCTGTACTCTGTGCCCTGCCCTCTGACTGGTGTGATCTTTCTACAGTGTGGGCCAGGACGATGCTAGGCACCCTAGCATGATGGTCAGGATTCTTACTTTTCTGGTGCCATCACTAACCACTTCCTACTTCCGTTGAAGTTTGTGCTTTTGCATACCGAATCACTAATTTCTCTAAACATTTCACACCTCTTTGCCCTCTGACATCTGTTTCCTCTTCATGGTGAAAAACATCTATATATTCTTCAAAACCAAGGTCAGCCCACAGTCTGATTCCAGGAAGCCTTCAGTGCCACCCGTCTGACCAGCTAGAGATAAGCATTTCTTTCTTTGTGTTAGCACTGTTCCTTAAATGAACATCTCGGGTAGCCCTTCAAACACTGCACTGAAATTATCTGTTTACATGTCTCTCTTTTCAGCTGGGTGTAGTTGGCTTCTTATAGGCCGAGTCTGGGTCCAATTCAGCTCTGCATCCTCAGGGCTGGTACTAGGCCTGGCAGGCAGTAAGTGACAAAATCAGCTTAGTCTTGTCTTTTGTTTCTGAGCTCTCACAGCACGTTCTTCTTATGCCTTTTTTTTTTTTTTAAGATTTTATTTATTTACTTGACAGAGAAAGAGAGTGCAAGAGAGGGAGAAGCAGACTCCCCGCGGAGCAGGGAGCCCGATGCGGGTCTCCATCCCAGGACCCTGGGATCATGACCTGAGCGGAAGCAGACACTTAACTGACTGAGCCACCCAGGCGCCCCTCTTATGCCATTATTTGAAATTTGTCACAGGCTGCCTTATTCAGTGGGTACCTTTGACCCGACTCTGGTGTGTCTTCTCCTTCTTCCCTCCCTTCCCCACGGACTGTGAGCTTCCCAAAGGCAGAGGCTCTTACTTTTTCCCCATGACATCCACATGGAGTTCTGTCCACCACAGGCACTCAGCAAATGTTTATGCTGCTCTTGAGGCCAAGAGGGAGGCTGGATGCTGCTTTATATGCTTCCTGGCTCTACTTTCTGAAAAAATCTAGTGATTTTCAAAAGTTTCTGATTTCCCAGATCCATATAGAAGAAATACAGTAGGAGTTTATGCTCATGTGTTTTGTTTTGTTTTTTTCACACAGGCCTTGGATGAAGAGTATTTGAAAGTAGATGCCCAGTTTGGAGGTGTTGATCAGAGAAAGATTTTCACCTTCGCAGAGAAGGTCAGTGTTCTCTTTCCTATCTTTTTTTCTTTTGTGCCTTAGGTATGCAGTTAAGGTTTATTGACTATGCCGGTCCCACCACTCATAACTATATTGTATGGCGGGTATTGTTCTCCCTGTTTTGCAAACGAGAAAACTGACTGTCGAGAAAGAAAGTTGTCTATTATCACGCAGTTAGTTGACTAAGCAGCGGTTAGCCTCAGACCTGACTCAAAAGCCAGGAAGCTACCCCCAGACCTGTTGGATTTGCTTCTTTCCTAATAACACAGTTCTTAGGGAAAGGGACCACCAATCAACTACTGGTCTTTCCCAGAGCATTCGGTCCATATTGCTCTGGATCTTACATAAACCACTCATCTCTGAGATGAGACTTAACAGGGTTTAAAGGAGGAAATCAGAGCAAACCCTTAATAGTTCTTTTTGGGGAAAGAACGTGAGTAAGTTGGAAAGGGCCATTGAGAAATGGTTGTTTTGTTTTTTTTTTAAAGATTTATTTATCTGTGAGAGAGAGAATGAGAGATAGCACGAGAGGGAAGAGGGTCAGAGGGAGAAGCAGACTTCCTGCTGAGCAGGGAGCCCAATGTGGGACTCGATCCCGGGACTCCAGGATCATGACCAGAGCCGAAGGCAGTCGCTTAACCAACTGAGCCACCCAGGCGCCCGAGAAATGGTTGTTATTTTTGAAAGCTTCTCAAAACCTCATCGTGGCAAGGGTATGGAGAAAACACTTAGTGGAAATGTAAATTTCTGGGAGGGTAGTTTGCCCTGATAATTATACAAATTGGTGCTAAGGAAATAATTTTAAAAGTGCAACTTCAGTTACATATGAAAATATTTATCACATTATCAATTTAAAGGTAAAATCTAGAAATAGGGCCACATCGCTATTTCAGTCGGTAGAGCATGCGACTCTTGATCTCAGGGTTGTGTGTTCAAGCCCCACATTGGGTGTAGAGATTACTTAAAAATAAAATATCTAGAAATAAACTCACATCTAATGGCAAGGGATTATTATGATATGTGTTATGATAACTCCTCACAATGGAATATTATATAGTATTCTTTAAATGGTTTTTTGGATGTATTTTTTTATTTTTTAATTTTATTTCCAGTGTAGTTAACATACAGTGTTATATTAGTTTCAGGTGTGCAGTATACCCGTTCACCAGTTCTATACCTTACTCAGTGCTCATCATGCAAGTGCACTCCTTAATCCCTACCCCCAATTTCCCCCATCCCCTCACCCTCCTCCCCTCTGGTAACCATCAGTTTATTCTCTGTAGTTGAGTCCTGTTTCTTGGTTTTCTCTCTTTCCTTTTTTTTCCCTTTGCTAGTTTGTTTTGTTTCTTAAGTTCCACATATGAATGAAATCATATGGTATATTATGGTATGGGAGCCTGCTTCTCCCTCTCCTTCTGCCTGCCGTTCCCCCTGCTTGTGCTCTCTCTCTGTCAAATAAATAAAATCTTTAAAAAAAAAAAAAGAAAGAAAGAAGTCAGAGAAAGACAAATACCATATGATTTCACTCATGTGGAATCTAAGAAACAAAACAAATGAACAAAGGGGGAAAAAAAGAGAGAGAGGCAAAGCAAGAAACAGACTCTTAACTCTAGAGAACAACCTGATGGTTACCCCAGGGGAGGTGGGTGGGGAAGGGGGGAAGTAGGGATGAGGATTAAGGAGTGTGCTTGTTGTCATGAGCACCGCGTGATGTATGGAAATGTAGAATCACCAAATTCTACACCTGCAGCTAATATTACAGTGTATGTTAACTAAACTTTGAATAAAAACTTTAAAAAAAGAAAGAAAGAAAGGTTGTATATTCAGCAAAAAAAAAAAGAGATTGGAAGAACTATATCAAACTGTTGCGTTGCTGGCCAAGTTCGATGAGATTGGGGCACTGAGGAGGAGTTTATACTAACACGTACTTTGTGTGTTTCTTTCTAACCCCTCAGTACCTCCCTGCACTTGGCTACTCAAAACGGGTCCATCTGATGAATCCTATGGTTCCAGGATTAACTGGCAGTAAAATGAGCTCCTCAGAAGAGGTACGTTTTCCAGCTCTGACTTGAGTTTAGAAATCTTCAGCAAGAGATGAAGGGATTGAGGACTCAAAACAAGAGTCCCCTCGCTAACTAGAATTCTTGTAGATTTGAGTTCCAAGGAATCTGAAGTCATCTAATTAATTTCAGTGGTTCTTGAGTATTAAAGGACCCAGAAGCAGTGCTGATGGGATCCAGTCATAATCTTAACAATTTTACTGCGGCTGATAAAACACACTAGCAAAAGTAATTTCTTCATTCATAGAACTGTGATAAGATTCAGCCTTGTTCATGAGGTTAATGAGGCTAGGGTTGCATTTCACCATATGGCATCTTGATTCTCAGGGTGATGTTTGATATAAGTAATGTGATAAATACAGTATCTTTTAACAGTTAAAAGTCCTGCTTAGGAAAAGTGCACTTTTGTTTTGATCACTAAGGGTACAGAATGGAGGATGTAGTGGGACCCAAAGATGTGAAAGGTTGAGTTCTGGGTTCCCAAACACAGCTGAGCTTCAGAACCACCTAGGAAATTAAAAAAAGGAAAAAAAAAAAAGCGTCGATTCGACTCTGTGCTTAGAGATTCTGATAAAGTGGTTCTGGGAACATCAGGAATCTGTATTTTCTTTCTTTCTTTCTTTTTTATTAACATATAATGTATTATTTGTTTCAGGGGTACAGGTCTGTGAGGAATCTGTATTTTCTTTCAAATTCCACTAGATGATTCTGGTTGAAGTCACATTTGGGTGTTCATCTAGTTCTTTAAATCTGACTTTTCAGTCTTTGATCAGAGACCAGTAAATATACGCATGGAAATTGTTACTATTTTTAAAGGAATATATAAAATATTTGTTTTTCTCTGTGTTAAAATGCTCCAGGTATCAGTTATTTCTCTGACAGAATATCATATCACTCACCCTATTTAGTGACTTTCACCGTATCTTAGCCCTGGAAATCAGTGTTAGCAGCCATTTCTGAACATGACTGCATCAGAATCACTCAGAGAACTTTTTTAAAAATGCAAATACCTGGCCCAACCTCAAGAGATTTTGATTCATCTCCCAGGAATTTACATTTTTTAAAGGCACCCCAGATGACTCATACATAGGCATACACAGACCAGAATTTGGTAACCACTGAACCCAAAGAACCATGAGCTTACTCACTCCAAAATAAGAAACAGTTCCTATTACCTAAAAAGGGATAATGGCTCTAGATACTAGACGGTACCTGATTTGGGGGGGTTGTCATGTAGCAAGCCGCTCACACACTTTTTTGGGCAGTGACAATGAATATGCCCTTTTCAGAAAATAGTTTTGGGCCTGGCAATTTTGGGTAGCTTAGGCAAATAATCCTAGAGTAGGCAGAAACAAAAACAATAAAAACCTCTGCAAAGATATTGATTGTAATATTGTATATAATTTGTAAAAATTAGAAGTCTAACAGTTCAGAAATTATGTTGTCACTAATAATTGGGAATGTGATACAGCATACAAATTAGAAGCAAAGACTAGATAGCCCCTCAGAAATACCTACGATATAGTCTCAAGTGAAAAAGCAAAAGGTAGACATTTGTTCTCGAAATACAAGTTTGTAACGATTCTGTGTGTTATAGGCCTGAGAAGAACACAGGAAAATTGAAATCGTGGTTTTTGTCAGGTGGCAATATTGTGAGTGGTTCTTGACTCTGATTAATTCTGCTTTTGTTAAAGTTGTTAATGTTTAAACCTCTCTTAAAAAAAAAATTAAAATACATAGATTAGTTGAGCATATCTCATTTCCCACCATAAGAGGTCCCTTCTCCTCCGTGGCTTATAGGAGTCCAAGATTGATCTCCTTGACCGGAAGGAGGACGTGAAGAAAAAACTAAAAAAGGCCTTCTGTGAGCCAGGGAATGTGGAGAACAATGGAGTTCTGTCTTTCATCAAGCATGTCCTCTTTCCCCTCAAGTCTGGTAAGATACTCGATTGCTTCTCAGAGGCCAGGCTGAAGGAGCAAAACTAGTACTGGGATCATTCTTGTGGTTGGTCAGGAGTCTTCCTTTAGAGATGGGCCTCCCTGATTCTGTGCTCTGACTTCTCATATACCGGGGTACACTTGCACTTGGGATGTCATTTCGTTGCCCATGAGGTTGTCACCAGGTTGGGTTCTAATCGGGGTGTCAGGGTGGGCAGGTGTTGAAGAAATGAGGGTGGGCACAGGCATGCGGAATTAGAGCAATGCGAAAGAAATGTAAGGCACGATCCTTCCCCTTGAGTGTGGATGCCAGCTGAGTTTCTAGCTCATCTGATTTAAGATAAATGCCATAAAATAAAGTTTAAAGTATATAACAGAGGGGCACCTGGGTGGCCCAGTCATTAAGCGTCTGCCTTCGGCTCAGGTCATGATCCCAGAGTCCTGGGATCGAGCCCCGCATCGGGCTCCCTGCTCAGCGGGGAAGCCTGCTTCTCCCTCTCTCACTCCCCCTGCTTGTGTTCCCTCTCTCGCTGTGTCTCTCTGTCAAATAAATAAATAAAATCTTTAAAAATAAATAAATAAATAAAATAAAATATATAACAAACTACAAATATCCATACCATTTGAGCTAGGAATGCTGACTCTGCCATTATCAATGACTTTGTTGGCATGGATCCTTTGTCTTACAGAGTTTGTGATCCTTCGAGATGAGAAATGGGGTGGAAACAAAACCTATACCGCTTACTTGGAGCTGGAAAAGGACTTTGCTGATGAGGTAATCCCAAAGGAGGAGTAATCCCCACCGAATTCCTTCTGACAGACCTTCTTGGCCTAGCCAGCTTTCTAATACCTGCCACAAGTTTCTGCTTGATGATCTCCAGGGCCATGTATTGTGGGTAATGGCTTAATGAGGATTCGTGTGGTTCACAGGTTAGGCGAGCAAATGGCAGCTAAAGTATTGGTGTCCTAATCACCCTGCAAAGGATTTAACCTGGAATGAAGAGCCAAACCCAGCAAGATGAAGCATTTCAGGGAGAGGGTCAAAGTCAAGGTTCAAAAAAGAAACACCTCAGAAAGGACAGCATAGAGGATCCTGCTGATCTCAACAGACAGCTTAAGAAAAGAATTACTAGGTGCCTGTGAGTTAGGCACCATGGTAGGGGCTGGCATTATAGAGGATTAAATCCTCATGAAGCTTGTGGTCCGGAAGGAGAGGTGGACACATAAACAAATATCATTGCTGTGTGGCTATATGATGATGATGTATACACGGTCTAGAGATCAAATAGGAGGAAGTCATTACCTGGCTGTCTGGCAAAGCTTTGTAGAGGGGACGACATCCAAACAGAGGGAATAAATTGTGCACAGACATGGGCAGATGAAATAGCACAGTATGGAATCGCAAGTGGTTTGGTCTGACTTGAGTCTAAAAGATGAGGCGGGGTGTTGTGGGCAAGCTAGGCAGGGCCAGGTCATAAAGCGAAGATGTGATAGTGGTGGGTATGGGGAAGGAAATGGGGGCTTTTGATTGACTCTGACTTTGGGTTCAATCAGCAGTGTGATTGGGCTATCAGAATGTTAATGAAGTCTTGCTATATAAGGCACCAGAAATGTGGAGTCTGGAACCAGGGAGCCGATAGTCCATTCAGTTCTACACTGTTGTGAGTATATTTGGGGTTGTGCATTCAGCCCTGGACTCAAATTTTATGAGGTTTATTGGACAGTCTGGGCTGTGTTGATGTGGGGAGGAAGGGGGCTGTGATAAGGAACAGACCCAAACCCATGTCACAGAAGCACAGTTGAAAGAACTGGGGATGTTTGGCTGGGAATCAGGCCTGCATTCAGTCCTCCTCAGATACATGACAGACTCTCGCGGGGGAGGGGTTGGATTTCTTCCTGTGGCCCCAGAGGGCTAAGCCAGGTCTGCGGGTGGGGCCCGCAGTGGGACGTGTTCAGGTTCAACATCAGGGAGAGCCGTGCAGTGACCTTGGGTGGATGGCAACGGGCCGGGCTGCCTCACTTGACCTTTCGCCCCCATCATCGAGGTGTTCAGGCAGAGGCCAGAAATCCACTGCAGGCAACATGGTGTGAGGGTTTGAACATCAAACAGCGGAAAAGTCTCCATGACCTCTGAGCTCTGCGGCCCTTAAGGCCCATTTTTTGGATGTTTCGCTGCCGTTGCTCTGAAACCCTCTATCTGCAGTCTGAGACAGGCCCCAAAACCCACACGGCACTCCTCAGCCCCGTGAATAGCCATTTGTTGGAATAACGAGAAGGGTAGAAAAAATGCATCTGAAAAAGAGCCTGGAGCAGCACTAGCCAACGGCACGTTGTGTGATGGCGGACACATTCTGGACGTGCTGTCTCACACAACTGCTGCTGGCCGTGTGTGGTCAGCCTCTCCATGCGCCCCGTGCAACTGAGGAGCGGGATCGTACTTTACATTGAAATGGCCACACGAGGCTAGCAGCTACCATACTGGACAGAGCAGGTCTAAACACTCCTAAGGAAATGAAAGAATATCAGAAACAAAAATGGAGGCATTGTTGTATTACAGGTATTCACAGCTAAGAGATAACCCCTCAGAACATCTAGCAGAGCCTTTCAGGCCAGATTTGGGATATAAAAGTACTAGTCACAGGACACAAGAAGAAAAATTGGATTGCTGAGCTCCTGCCACGTACTGGCATCACTTACCATATTCACCCACATTATGTGATTGAATCCTCATTCTGACTCTGAGGTATAGGCATTCTCTTCAGTTCTTAAGTAAAGCACCCCAAACTTGGGTGAGGTGCTTGGTCCGGGCTCACACAGCTATAGCTGGGACTCTAAGCCCGGTCGAACTCCAACGCCCTCGCTCGCTCGCTCTTCTCACTCACTCAGTTCCCCGCCAGGCTGTCTCCTCAGGTTGCCTCTGTGAGTGTTTCTCTGCCTGTAAATGGACCCTGGTTCATGCCACTACTCGAAGCATGAATGGAGGGACTACAAGAATTTGATTAATAAAAACATTCAGCCTCAAAAAAAAAAAACTTCAGCCTCTAAAATCCCTCAAGTTATTGCAGCTCAGGTCATGATCTCAGGGTCATGAGATGGAGCCCCGCATTGGGCTCCACGCTGGGCATGGAGCCTGCTTAAGATTCCCTCTCTCCTTCTCCCTCTGCCCCCAACTCCCACCCACCACCCTCTCCTTCTCCCTCTGATTCCCACCCCTGCACTCTCTCTCTCAAATAAATAAGTAAATCTTAATAAGATAAAAATCCCTTAAGTTAATATGGAATTCAGAGTCAAAAGACCTAAATCTCAGGCAAGAAAAATAATCTTTCTGAACCTATGTCCCCCTCTTGGCTTTGTCAGCTTGACAGGGCTGTTCTGAGGATCAACAGCCTGCACTTTACACACACATTATCTTTAGACTTGGACGTGCCATGCCCCACTCCGGTGCCTCCTTTCACCGGGCCTTTGTACACTTCCACAGGTTGTACACCCTGGAGACCTGAAGAATTCTGTTGAGGTCGCCCTGAACAAGTTGCTGGATCCTATCCGGGAAAAGTTTAATACTCCTGCACTGAAGAAACTGACCAGCGCTGCCTACCCAGAGCCCTCCAAGCAGAGTAAGGCCAGCCAGGGAGGGGCAGGGCCGTGGGCTGCATGATATCATCAGGACAGAGAGCCTGTCGGTGGGCTTCAGGAAAGGGTCTGTCTGAAATCGAGAGCCTGAGAAGCCAGGGGATCTGAGGCGCAAGAATATCCTACCCCGTCGACTCCTGGAATGGAACTTGAGTCATCCTGATTTAGGTTTAGGAGATACTGTGATTACATCCTGTTGTCCCAAGTCTACTGGTGTGAGACATGTACTGTGATCCTTGACTAAATCCTTCAATTAAGAGAGCAGTTGGGTTCGACCATGAGGGTAACACAGCTACTCAGGCAGAGCCTGCACAGCTGCTTGGGGAAGCTCATCTTGAGCTTCGCCTAATTCCTTTCCATATGCTTCTGACCGGCTCTTAGTTGGCCATCCACTTATCCATGACGCTGAGATATTAATATGGATGGTTTTGTGTGACCTTCCCCGACTCAATAAACGTATGTGGAGAGCACGAATAGAAACAGCTAAAGGTAGCAAAGCTACTGTCGTTCCCCCCCTTCCTCCCCGCCAGCTAATAACTGAGGGAGAGAATAGATGAAAATCTGGCATGTCATTTCTCAAAGGTTGCTGCTCCTGTTTTAAAGAAGATATAACTAGGGGCGCGTGGTTGGCTCATTCAGTAGAGCCTACATCTCTTGAGCTCAGGGTCATGAGTTTGAGTCCCATATTAGGCATAGAGATGACTTTAAAAAGAAAAAAGAAGGTATAACTAAAGGGGTAGATTCTGGGGAGTCCACACGAAACCCTGCTCGTGTCCCCAGTGGGTGGTGTCAGCAGTTGACCTATCATGGCGAAGGAGGAGAGTTCTGACTGCTTGGGGTTCTTCTCATTCCCAGAGCCAGTTGCCAAAGGCCCTGCCAAGAATTCAGAACCAGAGGAGGTCATCCCGTCCCGGCTGGATATCCGTGTGGGCAAAGTCATTAGTGTGGACAAGGTACTCATTTTTCACCACATCCCAGAGAGGCAGATAGGGGTCACGTTTGTCTGTTTCCATCCGGAGAAAACCTGGCCTGGGATGGGAAGTAACATCCCTGAGGTCATATTGCAAGTCAGAACGCAGGTGCCTAATTCCAGGTGTCAGGCTTTTCCTTTTGCTGCCTCTGAACCTTACGCAACCAGACAGCCAGGAACTCGGGGTGGGGGAAGGATATTAGTCAGAGGGAGCCTGCTCATCAGTTAAATCTGGTCCCCTAGATTCCTCTGGTCTCTACCAGCTCAGCTGGACTTAGCTGCAGGCCTTATCTCGGATCAGCCGCTGTGTCGCCCTGTCCCATCCCACTCACCCACCCCTGAAAATGGGGAAGGGAGAGGGATTTCCTTTTTCCCAGAGACAGAAGGTTATGCAACCAGTGACCTGGGACCATTGTTGTGGACTTTTTTTCTCTCCCAGCATTGTTTTTCACTGTGTAGACCCGACTACCGAAACAACTTTGAGGTTAGCTGCCGGTGCTCTTTGACATGGTGAGGCCAGCGCTGCCCTCCCCCCAACGTCCAGGCTGGTGTGGCGCGTGGCCATAATGGTAGCCGCCCAGACCGGTCCGGGCCACTTGACCTCTGGGGGAGACTCCTTGCCCCGCCTTTTACTGACAGCCAGCCTCTTGGCGGACAGTAAAATGTACCCTCCCGGCCCATTCCGTCTGCTGTCTGGGGCCTGGAAAGAGTTTGCTCCGGAGGGCCCCCTAGGAGCCTATGCTGGGGAGTAGGATGGCCGCTCCGGCAGTCCAAGGGCTCGCCGGGCCCCGGCTGTGATCCGTTGCATTGTGGTCCTGTCCGGGACTAACCCCTCTTGCCGGCAGCACCCTGACGCAGACAGCCTGTATGTGGAGAAGGTTGATGTCGGGGAGGCCGAGCCGCGGACTGTGGTGAGCGGCCTGGTGCAGTTTGTGCCCAAGGAGGAGCTGCTGGACCGGCTAGTGGTGGTGCTGTGCAATCTGAAACCCCAGAAGATGAGAGGCGTCGAGTCCCAAGGCATGCTTCTGTGCGCTTCTACGTGAGTGAGAACTGGGGGCGGGGCCGGGGGTAGATGGGCCCATGGGATGCCCTCCCTCGAGCCGGGTGGAAACCCTAAGGACACTGACCAAAAGATGGTACGTGAAGGAATGAGTTGTTGGGCAAGTACTGTGAAGGAAGCGCTTTACCTAAAGTTAGTTTTATCAAGACAGAAATTGAAGCCTCTGAGCAGTATGCACATTCCCGAGTCTCTCCACCAGTAAGAGACGGAGCCAGGAGTCAAACCCAATCCTCACTGGCCGTTCGGGCCTTGCTGTCTCTGTTATGTCCTACTTCCTCCCCTGAAAGCCCAGAGTTTGGTATCTCTCCCGACAGAGGGCTTCAGGGTGGCCATAGTCAACCCAACCCTGGTAACATCCAGAAACAGTGCAGCACTGAGGGCCCCTCTAAAGGCCCTGATGCCTTGGCTTCCATGGCAGCTGCAGGCAGGCCACAGCCTCACTCTTTCCTCGTCCTGTGTGTCTTCTCAGAGAGGGGGTAGACCGCAAGGTTGAGCCTCTGGACCCTCCTGCAGGCTCTGCTCCCGGTGAGCGAGTGTTCGTGAAGGGCTATGAGAAGGGCCAACCAGATGAAGAGCTCAAGCCCAAGAAGAAAGTCTTTGAGAAGTTGCAGGTAAGTAGCTGGCCATGCCCCGTCCCCTCTCTTGCCTGGGCAGCCTGGACTGGGTCCCCAGACTGCTGTGTTACTGGGTCCACCACTGCCCTTCCCCCCAACCCATCCACCCCTCCCCCCCAGGCCTTCCTGCCTCTCTAAGCCCCTCCCTTCCTTAGTCCACTGCTTTCCAGAGGAGGTGCCTGCAGAACATGGGAGCCCTCGCACATACTGAGCATGGACAGACTATTTGAGGCACTGCGTGAGGGACTCAGACATTTCCTCTTCTGATCTTCAGTCTGTGATCTGAGGATTGTCCATATTTTATCTGGCAGGACACCTGACAAGGCCACACAGGGTCACCAGAAGCCATGGAGCCAGGACCCCCTCCCCCACCACCAACCCACTCTGGTCTTAGAGCACTCATTCTGTCTGCCCTCTGGGCATGGACTCACATACAGCCCGTCCCCATGACCCTTGAATGCATTCCTCCCTTCAGCAAGTACTGAGCCCCTGATATGCATGTCAGCCACCATTCTAGGTGCTCGGGCTACATCATGAACAAAGCAGCAACCGAGCTAACGGGACACATATGACCTTCCCTAGTTAATCCCGCATTTCCTCGCTCAGCCAGAGTGTATCTGGGGGGCATAGAGTCCTCCTGCATGTGAGGGGCAGGTGGTTTTACCCACTCCCTTCTTTCCTACTTTCCCAGGCTGCTTTTTTGAATCACTTATTTTTCCTGCTATAAAATAAATTTCCAATGTAGAAATGTCCAAAGTATAGGGAACACGAAGAAAAAGTACCCATAGTCCTGCCACCTAGAGTTCCTGGAAAATAGCATTAGTGATTCTTTCTTTGTGGACTTTTTCAATGCAAGGAGGTAATATATTTACAGTTTGAGTCCCACCATATGTTTATTTTTTTTATTTAACTTGATGCCAGAAAAACTTGCCCGTCTTTTTAAATACCAAGAGGGGGGGATCTGACTGTATAGTGTTGAATCAAAATTACTGTAATGTAACAAAGTTATTTAGCCTTATTAAACATTGAAGTTGTTCTAGGTTTTCATTATTCGTACGCTCCAGTGGATGTCTTGGTACATAGTTCTTTGCACTTACTCGTGACTGTTTTCCTAAACTAAATGCCTCAGATGAGCGGGCTCGCCGGGAGTGAAGGAGAGGCACATGAGACCTTGGGGAAGGGCTGTCCTCGAGCTGCTCTCACCGCCACATTCACGGCTTCTGTTTATTTTGTGCAGGCTGACTTTAAAACCTCTGAGGACTGCATCGCACAGTGGAAGCAAACCGACTTCATGACCAAGCTGGGGTGCATCTCCTGTAAATCGCTGAAAGGGGGGAACATCAGCTAGCGATCCTGGCATCCTGCTCCCTCCTCCCATCCCCCCCCCCGAGTCATCTGCTGTCTCAGTTTGCTCCGTCCTTCACCCATTTACCCATCTCCCAGGACACACCGAAGCAGGAAGTTGGGGACTTTGTTAGGAGTGGAACTCAGTAAGTGGCAGCTCAGCCTCCCCAGAATCCAGAACCATCCTGTCCGGGCTGCTGGGCTACTACAGAGCCGCTGCCCCCCACCCCCACCCCCGGGTAGTAAAGAGGGTGGGGCGGCAGCAGGGAGCCCAGCTCTACCTTCTCTGTCTGGCAGCTGACTGGAGAAATCTGGTTTCAGTATAACTCCTAGAAAAGGTTTATGCCACAGCCCTTCTAATTGGAAAAATATTGGTTCCCATGTTTTCCTAGAGTTCTCCTGGCAGCTGTGCCTCTGTCTGGGATCTGGTGCCTGAACTGAGCTAATTACAGCCTTTCCCCAACAGGAAATTGTGGGATTCAGAAAGGAAAGGGAGGGGAAAAGAGAGAACCTAGTGGTCTACCAAGTGGTGGGCAGCTTTCCCCAGTGCCTGCCAACCCTGAGGCCCAGCCCCGAGGCTCCTGCCTTTTCTTTCCCTTGATCCTGTGGGGTTGGGACATTCCCTAAACCAGCTGTGTGTTAATATCAGAAGTAAGGCAGATGGCACAGCCTGAATCTTTCTTCAGAGAGGGTGGGGTACTTCTCCATAAGGCATCTTGATCAGAATCACTGTCACTGTCAAGAATTCAAATAAACTGTCTGAACAAGAGTGTCTGGATGGGGCCTGTCTGTGAGCCAGACCATCTCAGGAGGGAGGAACACAAGTGTGGAGCAGCTGCTGGGCCCCTCACCCAGGCCAGGCTGCTTGTATCTTGGACTTTTAACCCTGTAATGGGCCGGGGGCTGGGCGGGGGGGGGGGGGGTTGAACTGGATGGATCACAGACACTTTGGCTTTTCCTTTGGCCATAAACGCAGAAGAGGCCCGGGGCGCCTGAGTGGCTCAGGGGGTTGAGTGCCAGACTTCATTTCGGCTCAGGTCATGATCTCAGGGTGAGATCAAGCCCTGTGTCGGGCTCCACCCTGGGTGCGGAGCCTGCTTAAGATTCTAGCAAAAAAGGGCAGAAGACACCCACTTCGGGGTCCAGTGCTTACAGCAGGCGGAAAGAACATTTTCCCTCCTGATAGTGGGCCCAGTCCCAGACCCCTGTCCCTCTCCCATTAAAAAGCAGCAAACCACAGCCAAGTTTTAATCATTTAATTAACACCTTTGAATGAAACACACAAGAGCTTTTTCATGTGTCTCACTCAGGCTTCAGGGCAGAGGGAATGGATTGTTTGTATAGACATATCAAAGACTCAAAAATTTAAAGAAATATATATATATATATACTTCTCTCTCTAACATTTTTATGGAAATTAAAAATCAGAGGCTTTTGGTCTCTCCATTTGCACTAGGTCAAGCTCATTTACCCCAGAGGACAAAGAAGGGCTGCCTCTTCTAGATCCTCCCTTCTCCTCTGTACTCTGTCCCACCCAGTGGGGAAACAAGCTCAGAAGATTCTAGCTGAGGATAAGGAGCTCAAGTAACATTGAGAGGGGAGGGTAAGAAACACAGAAGCTGGGCTCCCTCCCACCTCCAGCAGCTCTAGGGTTGCCACCACAGCCTGGTCTCATGGAGGCTTTGGCCTGGTCTTGGTTCCCAGGGCGTTGAATCAGGAGCTCTGAGCAGAGCAGTGCATACTGACTATCCTCTTTCCCCAGCTCACTGGGCAGGTGCACTAGGTACCCAGTAGCTGCTCGCCCTCACCCATGGGGCAAGGGAACAAGCTTGGTTGACAGCTACAGGGAGAAGACAGTAGTGACGGCGGGCCAGAGGAACCTGGGCTCTCGTACCACATCCCCTGTGTTCCCAGCTCTTGTTCTGAGAGGGGTTCAGTCTCTCCAGAGAAGCAGCTAAAAGTGAGGTTCCTTGCCACGCTCAAGCCCAAGTCACTGTTGAGGAAAGAGGATCAGGACAGAAGGGGTGGCCCAGCTGGGAGCCACACGACTGTGGAGGGAAGCGCTGGGGCCAGTGGGGAAGCCAGCTTACCTAGAGAGGTGGCACAGGCTGAAAATAGGTCATTAAAATTCCTAGAGGAGAGATCAGTAACAGAGGCTGACGGCTAGGGGGCAATCACCCAGCCTACTCCCTAGGAGCACAGAACCCCCCTTCATTGACTAGGGAAGAGTCTGCAAGAGAATGAACCTTTGGGTTCCCATCCTTGTCACTCAGCGCCAGCGCCACCCCCCAACCCCGTGAAACCACCTGTGCTGAAAGGCAGCTGCAGAAAGAACATGCACCGAGTAAAGAGAAAGGTCACAGAATGTAATCTGTAGGGCCAGGTCCGGGCCCACTGCCCAAACAAGCGCTCCCCCCTGCCAGACCTCTCCACCCACCTCCTCAGGACTTCCTGCCCAGCTGAAAGGGACACAGCTTTGCCACAGCCCATGGGCTCCTGCCTCGGAAGTGTAGTGCCTGCCCACTCCAACCTGACCAAGTGAGACAAGGGGCGGATGCTTGGCATCACGAAGTGCCCACTGAGATGTCTCCCTATTCCATTCTCCCACTCTCTGTAGACAGAGGGCCTGTGGACCTCCCCTCCGGTTCCTCTCCCCCACCCCCACCCCCATTTAGGCCCTGGTGGTCCCCCACTTCTTGTCCCCGGCATGGAGCACCTGGCAGAACTGGAAGGCAAGGAGGGTGGTTGGTGCTAAGTTGAGGCACAGGAGAGCTAACCCTTGCTGCACCCTTTGTGCTTTGGAATCCCACAGCCCCGCTCCTGCCTCCAGCCTGGGGAAGCCTGTGGGAATACAGTGACTCGCCCACCTCCAAGAACTAAGAAATGGGCAAACTGGATCAGAGGGAGGGGACAGATTGGTCCCACCTATGGGCTGGCTAAATGGGGACTGATGCTGCCGCCATGTAAACAGGCCCTTGGAATGTGGCTTCGTGGGCCCTGGAGGATGGACATGCAGTTGCTTTTCAAAAGTGCGTTGATTCCGGACTACCGTATGCACATGATTTGGACGTGTGGAGGGGGAAGCAAAGAAACTCAAAGGAGGTGCTCTGCTCCCAACTGTGCGGCCTCGAGGCCAGCAGGGGGCGCAGCCACCCGCTCCCACCAGCCTCCTCCTTCAACATGAGGCCAAGGCCAAGACAAGCGGCCTGAGGGGAATCCATTCAGGGGGAAGAGGCATGAGCTGGATGACTTGGAGGACAGGATCACCACCAGGCTTGCATAAATATCGAAGGCTGTGAAGGTTAAGGCTGCAGGCGTCCTCTCTACTAGGTCTGCTGTATCCTCTCGTCCTTGGAGCTGCTCAGGTCCCTGAGATTGTGTTCCTGGGATGGGTCAGCAGTGCCAGCGAGGTGCCTGATGGTCAGACCAGCTCTTTCTGTGGGTCTGTGGAGGGGGGCGGCGGGGGGGGGGGACACACTCAGCAGGGGGCCTCCCAGCTTGGTTCTGGACGGCCCACGGCACAGCCTCTCCCCAACTGACTGGCCTTGCCTGCAGCACCAGCCAGGTGCTTTACACCCACGAATGCAGGTACCACTGCCCTGCGCTTTACAGCGAGGAAATGGAGGCCAGGATGCGTAGAGAAAATGGCAAAGCTGAGGTGGAACTCAGTAGGTCTGACTTCAAAGGCCCACACACCAGGCTCCTTCGCTAGCTTATCAAGAGTGACAGCTCACCCTTCCCAGGCAGCCTGACACCAGAAAAATCTGAAAGATCCGGTAACAGATCCCCAGTAGTGGGACTTCAGGCACCTCTTTCCCACCACCAGTGATGGGGGGCCCCCCCCGACACACATACATACACACACACACACACACACACACACACACACACTGTCCACTGTACCTGAGCCAGGCGGGCCCAGCTTCTGCTCCTCGGGGCCCACCAGCTGCACGACGCTTCCGTTCTCCACCAGCTCCCCCTTAGTCCTGTCCTCAGCACGAAGGAGCCCGTCGGTGGGAGGAGCAGGAAGGGACTCGGCCCGAGGAAAGGTGGGGGAGGTGGATGGCGGGACCCCCACCGGAGGCTTGCGGGCCACAGGTGGGGGAGCTTTAGGTGGCTTCTTTGGGGCTTGGGATGGCCGCTGCTCCGAGATGTTCCGAAGTTCAGCCACCAGATTCCGCTGGAGGTCAGCCTGGGCCTCAGGGGACACCGGCCGCTCCAGCTGCAGCTTCTTGGTGCCCTTGGAGAAGATGAAGCTAGCCATAGAGGCAGGGGACTGGGGAGACCGTGGCTCCGCCTCAGGTGGTCCATTGGGCTGGGCACTCTCAGGGTCCTTGCTGGCAGCCAGACTGGAGGCCTTGAGTCGGACAGCAGCATGGAGCCCTGAGGAGGGGGCGGGCACAGGGCTGGCCCGCCCTGACAGGGCCCTCCGTAGCGGCTTCTGGGGGGCGGATGGCCCGGGTGCCGGGGTTGCAGCTACCGCAGGAGCGCCCACAGAGCGCAGCCGCACCATCTGCAGGAGCGAGGGGGTGACCAGGGGTGCACCAGCATCCTCCCTGGGGGCCGCACTGCCTTTGCTGCAGCCCACTGGTTCCTTCCGAGGGACCTTGGCCAGAAGCCCGGGGACAGCAGCAGGAGGTGGGGCTGGTGGAGCTGGAGGCGGCTCTGGGGAACTGAGGAGCTGGCTCTGGGAAGAGACGGTACCCGGGAAGGACGAAGCAGCCAGGAATCTGACAGGCTCTGGGGCGTCTGGAGGGCCTGCAGGCTCAGCGCCAGCCACACAGAAAAAGGCCTCCTCAGGTGGGGGAAAGTCAGCCATGGACAGGTCGTGCTCCTCAGGTGCAGGAGGCGGCGGTGGGGGCCAGCTGGGGTCTTGAAGGGGCTCCTCAGCAGTCTCTGGGGCAGACGGGGCCTCAACCACCTCTGGCTTCTTAGTGGGTGGGGGGGGGGGATGATAAGATGGGGGTGGGGATGGTGGGGGTGACTTGTCTTTGGAGGCAATGGGAGACTCCTGCGGTGGGATCAGGGATGTCTGCGGAGTTGGCAGGGGCTCAGGACTCACATCAGTGGTGGAGACGGGCCCAGGGACCACAGCAGGAGTAACCGGAGCAGGGGCCGCTTGGTTAGGACTCTTGGACTTGGAAGGGGGTGGGGAGAAGGGGGCAGGCACCTTGGGGTGAGGAGGTATGGCAAACCTGTCACCCAGGGTGGTCGACATCTGTGTACCGGAACGGTCTGAGGGGGCTGGGTCAGAGGATGAGGAACAGAGAGACGTGAGGGAGGAGGAGACAGAGGCCCCAGGAGACCGAAGGGAAGTGACACGCTCTGGTTTAAGGGGTTGGGCCTTGCCTGGGGAAGCAGGGGCCCCTGTGAGACCCTTGGGAGGGAGGGTAGGGGTACCACTTTGGCTCGAGTACCCACTGGAGGGTGAGAGCGTCCGTTCTGGGGAGCGTGGGGGACGCCGGGAGCCCCCTGGAGACAAGCCAGGCACCCAGGTGCCTGCTGAGCTGGAGGGACAGGGGGCTGCCCCCATCCCTTCTGACCCACCAGTGGTGGGCGGCCGGGGCAGCTGCGGCGGCTGCTTCCGCTCAGGCTTGGGCGGCAACCCCAAGGGCCCATCAGGGGCTGCCGAGCCCCGCTGATGGAGTGAGTAGGTCCGGCGGGGAGGCGGGGGGGGCCGCTTCAGCTTCCGCAGGGACACGCTCCGGCCCGACGACTGCCCGCTGCTCCGAATGCTGACGGTGTCCGAGGCCTCGGCCGTGCTGCCCCCGCTGGGAGAGCCCCTCCCGCTGCCCCCCTGGGGAAGGGGTGCCACACTATGGCTAGCCACAGAGCTCTCGGGCCGACCTTCAGAGCCACCCTTGGAGGAGAGGGTGGAGCCATCCGACACGATTGTCTCTGAGGACTGAGAGTGGCTCCAGGTGTCACTGGAGGAGGAAGGCTGGCGGCTGCGGGGCCGCGGACTGGAGGCCGAGGAGAAGCGGCCCAGCGAGCGGACAGAGGCCGGGCTGGCTGAGAGCAGGCTGCAGCGGCTCAGGGTGCGTAGGCTGCAGCGGCCCAGGGCCACCACGTCCACGGTGGGTGGTAGCACAGCGTGCGGGATCAGTTTCGACAAGTAGGTGGCCTGGGGCGAGATGGACATGGCCGGACTCAGGGGCTCTGGAGGCCCTGCTCCTCCTGTCAGGCCGGGCACCGCTAAGGACATGGGCCGGGTCACCGGTGGGGGCCGGGGCCCCGTGGACCGCCCAACGAGGGTGTCATCCCGGTAGATACGGTCAATGTGGCGCTGCAGCATGGCCTCCGCCTCGGCACCAGCCTCGGCTTGTGCCTCCAGCGCCTGCAGGGACACCCGGGCGCCGGTCCCCGAGGCCGGGCCCGCTGGGCGGCCGTCCACCGTGGGGATGCGCACCGCATCCCGAGGACCAGGGGGCCGAGGGGTACCTGGTGCCTCACGCTCGTGCCGCAGGCCTGCAAGGGACAGGGAGGACACGGGAGTCAGCAGCAGGGGCGGCCGGGGCTCCCCACGCAGCCCCACGCCACCCCACCACCCTCCTACTGTGCGGCTCACCGAGCTCCTTCTGCACGTGCTGCGGCAGTCCCAGCACCGTGCTCCGCCTCTCGCGGCGCCGCCGCCCTGACTTCCCAGATGATTTGGAAAATGAGTCATGGGGTCGGAAGGTAGAGCCTGGGGGCCAGTCCAGGGGAGAGAAACCATTAGAGCAGGTCTCGGGGCACATTTTGCAGAGCACTGCTTTCGTAGAATAACTAATAAGAGCTCTGCAAAAAGAGATTTCCATAATCAAGTAGGCGTGGGCAAAGCTAGGTTAAACAAAGCTAGACACTTCTTTTCAGTACGACTTCTGGAAGGCTTTACTAGGCCGAGGATAATTTCCATTTAGTGAACAATTATTATGTGTTAGTCAGCATGCTAAACACTTGGCATTCATTCCGATAATGTAAGTACTCTTATCCTCATTTTTATAGAACATCAAACGGAAGACTGGAGTGGCTGAGGGTTGGCCCAAGGTCACACAGCTGGGAAGGAGCAACACCAGGCTCAAAAACAGGTTTCCTAACTCCTAACTGTCCTGCTTTGCAGTTGGGTGTGCATCACGAGTCTCCAAGGAGACACAGGATACTGTGTTTCCTGAATTCACTGACTCACAGAGCTTTAGGAGGTGCTAGATTAGGAGGAAAAGGGGAAAGTTGCAGGGGCTGGGACCCCAGAGAGTGCCCACCACCCCTCTGCCCCGTCCAAGAGTCCGGGCTGGTGAGCAGACACCTTTGCGCTGGATCATCTCTGAGCGGATGGAGAGAGCATCCTCTGCTGTGGAGCTCTCAGCCGTGTAGGATGTGGTCTGGCTGCAGAAGGAGATGCTATCTTCATCCGGCCCCATCCGGGAAGACTGTTGGGGGAAGAAGGAGATGAGGCCCTGGCCTCAGGCCACCCCAGAAGCCTACGTGGGCCTCTTGCTGTTGCCTCTTCAGGGCTCCCCTGTGGAGCTTTGGACTCCGATTCTCCCTGGCTTCACCTAGCACTGAGCAGACCTCAGCTGGACTAGCCCTTAGGGGTCATCTAGTCTACTCCTTCGCGATACAAGAAGGAAACTGAGATCCAGAAGGGTTCAAAGACATACTTGCCAGAGATTAAGCAGGGAGGGAAAAGCAGAGTCAGGACTGAGCTGGGGGCAGGGCTCACCTGGATGCTCTGGGTGTCTCCATGGTCCCAGCCACCCTTATTCAGTTTCTGTTTTTCTGGAAGACACCAGAAAGGTGCGTTGGGCTAGGCCCCTGACCTTGGAAGCCAAGAGTAGTCCTGGAGGGGAGAAAGTTACCTTGGTGCTGTAGGGAACGGAGCCCCTCCTGGGCCTGTGTGTGCAGCTCTTCCAGGTGAGGTGGCCGCCCGCTGGGGAAGAAGACATTGTCCTGGTGCTCATCCACTACAGACCCTGGCCCCTGGCCAGGCCCTACACTTAGACGTTTGTCACTCTCAGCCTTGGCAGAGCCTAGTGGAATGGAGGAGGAAGAGAAGTGAGCCCTGAGAGCATCTGGGTCCTGGGGATGCACAGGCCCCACAACAATAGCACCCACAGTCCCAAGACTGCACACAGCCCCTGGACATACATGCAACGCCTACCTTCCCCAATCTGTATGCACAACTCACAGTCCTGTGTTATACACTCAATACACAAAGCCCCATGTACATGTACAAACTCTACCCAAGCGTGCTTGTATCTGAGTACCACACCACACAAAGGACCCCGTACAGGTCACCATACCCAGGGCACACAAGCCCACCACAGAGGCACACAACACCCACAGGCTTCAGTCTATACACACACCCACAGGCTTCAGGATGTACACAAACAGCACCCAAGTATAAACACATCGGAAGCCAACATCAAACACAGGGGCCCCCAGAGAACATACCCAGCCCCCACAACATCCACAGTCCCCATTCTGTACATATACAAACAGTACCCAAATATACAGGCAACTGTGTATCCACACGTCATTCAGGGCCCGACACAAAGCACCCCAATATACACACAGCCCATAGCGAATACATTTCTCTTGTCGCCACACCCCAAGCTCCACTTTAGGGAAAACCAACCACCCCTTTCACACACACCTTTGGCCCAGGCCCAGGAAGACACCATGGGACACTAGGGAGGGCTGTGGGCTAGCAGGGGTCCTAACCAGAATTCCCATGAAGTCCTGGGAGGAGGGACAAACCAGGGACATGGCCTCTGTGTCCCCTACTCACCCATGTGGCTGTCCCTTAGTGGAAGGATGGGCCGGGGAGGGGAGAAGGCGGCCCCGGGGTCCCTCCACCCCCAGAGGCCCTCCACCCCCAGACAAGGCAGCCCCCACCTCTCTTGGGAGAACAGTCCCACGCATCCCCCTCTCCTGGAGGCCCCAGCCCCCTGTGCAGAGGAGCCAGGGATCCATTACAAAGGATCCTGTTACAGGCCCCGCCCATGGGGAAGCTGGTCATCTAATCCTGGGAATGAGGGGCTGTGTCAGCACTTTGCAGCCCCAGCCCCCCTTTAAATGGAACCCACAACATAAGCAAAAGCACTGGGAGGATCATGTGACCTTGGCAGCACCTTGTAGAGGGGCAGGAACAAAACAAGCCCTTTAAAGGGCCACGCCCCATGATCAGGGGCTTCAGCTCAGACACCTGCCCATTCCTACCTCCTCAGCCCATTCTTCAACAGCCAGCTCCTGCCCAGGGAACCTGCAGGAACCCTACAGGGTCAGAGCTCCTAGGTCTCCCGACAATCCAACCCATGGAGTGTCGCCTAATCCCTGAATTTTACACGTTGGGGAAACAGGATTGAAAAGGAAAGGCCTTGCCTAAGGTCATCCAGCAAATCAGAGTCAGTGCCAGGACGAAGCTCCAGATTCCCAGAGGGGACTCCTGAATCACACTCAAAGTGAGGATCCCCTGCCCACCCCCCAAAAGTCCAATAAACCCTGGCCCCCATGTCTTAATCCAGGCCTGAAAGCCCAGTTCCTAGAAGCAGAAAGCAGGCAGAGACCCCTCCCTCCAAAACTTCTCCACCGTCCTGCCCTCCGCCTCTAAACAGCATTTTGATGATCATGCCCCAAATTCCAGCGGGGCTACTTTCCTCTCTCCTCTGCTCCCCACATCCCATCCTCCCACACATGCTGACTGACCTGGGGGTCGGCGGGGGTGTTCTGCCTCTCAGACCTGAAGCATTAGGATGCACCCAGTACAGTGTGGGTACCTCCAGAGGAAGCAGTCTCACCCAAGGGCTGCAGGCTTCAAGGTCAGAGACACCTGGACCCACCCTCCCAAACCCAACCAAGCAGGGCCCAGACAAAAGCAGCAGAAAAGCCGCTGGACAAAGGCACAGCAGAGGACAGGGCAGTCTGGCCGCCTTACTGCTCCCCATCCCCCACCCACTACCCTTCCCCAGCCTTGATCCCCCTTTTTACAGAAGGCTCTGGCAAATGGAGGTGTCAGGGTCCCTCCTCGCCCCCTCCCCAGCCACACCCACTCACCCTTCTTCTTAAAGAGCCCGAGGAGCACCGGGAGGCGGCGGCCCAGGAACACCACCATGACTGCGGGTGCCACCAGGGCCGTCCCCTATTCCGGCCTCTCCGGAACGCCGGGCGCCGCCCTCACCATAAGCCGGCACCGAGTGGTGCGAGTCGCCCGCCCGGCAGCCGACTCCAGGCGAGGAGGGGGAGGGGCTGCTCTCCAGGTCCTCCTCCCACCTGCACCACTGATCCCGCCCCTCAAGTGGAGTGCAGAGGCAGGAACAGTCCCAGATTCTGACGGGGAAACTGAGGCCCGGAGTCTGCGGATGCTTAGCTCTGGTGGAGAGTAGGACTAGCAGGGCTGAAGATGCTCAGGCCCCGGGGGGCAGACCACTAACCCGTCCCCAAGTCCTCTTCTAAACGGTCAGGAGCCAAAGCCATGGCAGGGGTCCCAGCTGCCAGATGGTGGGTGGAAGAGCCACTAGACCACACTTGGCATGATGCCCATCCCCAAGTCCTCCTGGCTAGTAAGGGTCATTCCCTGGGGAAGGAACTCAGGGAATGGAACATGGAACAACAGCCTGGCAGAAGCCCAGAACTGCCTGTGATGGCAAGGCCATCGGCAAAGGCCCCTGGAGGGGTGGGAGCCAGCCCAGGACACAGGACACCGGGAAGCCAGGGTGTTGTCCAGAGCAGAAACACAGTGGCTGCTGGGAACAACTCCTCGTGTGTATGTTCAGACCCATGCTTTTCAAAGGACTTTCTTCCCACTTCCGTCATGTGGGAAGCAGCTCAGAGAAGCACTGTGAACTCTCCAAGGTCACAGAGCAGAGGCAGGCTTCATCGTATACCTCCTGCTCCTCCAGCCCAGGACCCTTCCCACTGGCCCCACTCTGTGACTTGGTGACTATTGGATCACCAGGCAGAGAGAACAGAATTAGCCAAAAAAACCCGGTCGTAGGCAAGGGCATTTGTAAAAATGAGGGGTAGGAGGTAACTGGAGGGAAGACAGCTCCAAGTTCAAATTCAGCTCTGTCACACACAAGTCATGATTTCATATGGAAACAAGACCAGTGAACTCCTCCTTACAAGACTGTTGTACCCATTCATTCAACCAGCAAGTATTTATTAAGCTAGTACGGGGGCTACAGCGAATGGAGGAGAACTGTATCTTGTTCACCCTAGCGCCTAAATCAGTGCCTGTCATACCGTGAGTTCAATAAACATTTGACAAATACATCAACGAGGTACACTAAGAATACAATTTTAGATTAGTGAAGACTGAGGAGCTATGATAGGGAAGGGGGTGCCTCTAGGGGGGCATGAAGGAAAGTCTCTCTAAGGAAAGGCCATTGGAACCAAGACCCGCAGAAAGCAAAGGAGCGGGCCAGGGCAAGTGCTGGGCGCAGAGCCTTCTGGACTGAGAGAGCGGCAAGTGTAAAGGCCTCAAGGCAGGAGTGGGGGCTAGAAATGAGGGGGTGGGGGGAGGTGTCTCAGAACAGACAACGGGAGGCCAGTGGGGCGGGAAATATGGTGAGCAAGGGAGAAAATGGCAGGAGCCAGGTCGGGTGGGGCCCCACAGGTCAGCATGGAAGGTTCACCTAGGTAATGACAGTGTTAAGAGATCCCCTCGGGCAACTCCAGAAAGAGTAGCTGAGGCTGTGGAAGAGAAAGTCTGTGAAGCACTGCCCCCAAACTCACCTCAGGACACGGCTCTCTTGCAGCACCTTTCTCCCTGAGTCGCTAAGAATTCACAGTGGCTCCCACGCGGCAAACAAGGGGCTTCCCTCTGCAGCCCCTTCCCCATTTGCTGCCCCGCCTCTCAGAGACCACTCAAGCAGAGGCTGAGCCCTCACTCTCTGGAGAACAAACTTTTGTGCAGCTGGACAGGACGTAAATCCACAAATCATTTAAATCTAAACAACAATCCTAAGAAGTAGGCACTTTTATCCCCATTTGACAGATGAGGAAGTGGAGGCCAGAAAGGGCAAGCTGGGAAGGGTAAGGTGGCATTTGCCCTCAGGACAACTTGAACCCAAAAGCTATGCTCTGTCTGCTGTGCGAGCTACAAACCTGATCTCCCCTCTGAGGAAGGGCTGAGGGACCCTATCATCCCCAGAAATTCGAGGTTTCTTGGCCACATCCTCCCCTTGTCCCTCTCTTAGGCCAGACCCATCCGCCCCTTATTAGTCCCGCTCAGACGTGAAGAGCAGTAGCCCCACACTTGCAGGGAAATTAATGCCAGGGGCTGGGGGAAGGCAAACAGTCTCTGCCCTCAGGGATCTTAAAACAGCCCTTTGAGACAGGTTCTCGAACATACTCTCCTGTAACTGATCCTGGACCTATGAGGCTCGGAGAGCTAGGTGACTTCCCAAGCTCTGGCTGGCTCCAAAACTGAAGCCTCTAATCACGCAGGACACAGTCATCCTCAGCTTCCCCCTAACCAGGGAAACTCGGAGCTGAGCTCCACAAAGGGCGGGGGGAACAGCAGCTCAAGGTCCCAGGCCCCCAGCTGGCTGTCAGGGCCACAGCTGCAAATTCCCAGAGGATCCAAGGCTCTCACACTTGATAACATCTGGTTGCTCTAGCAACACCCCTCCCCGCCCCCCAGCTTGGCCAGAGCCTGAGGTCTCTCGGAGCCACTCAAGGCTCAGGCCCACACACCTGTGACTTGCTTAGGGAGGGGCTCAGCAACCTGAGTCTCAGGTGGAGGGCAGGGTCCTCACAAAGAAACTGGGGCTGACAGAGTGGAAGACCTCGCCCAAGGCCACATTTAGAGTCCTTGTTCCAGGACCTTCTGCCCTGGTACAGTCCAGAGGTGCAGCCGGGGGCTGAAGCTCACCACCAGCCTCCACCTCCGCCTCCCCTCCTTCCCCACCTGCCTGAGGAAGGAAGCTTCCTGGATCAGAGAAGACACCTTGCTCTTGGCCACACCCCTCACATGAAGGGCACACCAGGAAGCACACAGGCCAAGTTCGGGAGCTCAGATCTAGTCCACCAGCAGAGGTTCTGTGCACAAGGACCTCCAAAATGTCCCACTGGGCCCCCCCACCCTGACAGGTGCGTGCTCTCAGGACCACATCCACAAAGCACACCCAGGCCACCCTAATCCAGCTCCTTGTCACACACCAGCACAACTGCAGACTCACACAGGGCCCAGCCAGGTGGCTGTGTGCACACAAAGGCAGGTGCATGTACCCACCACTCTGGGGCTTTCCTGAGCCCGGGGAACAGGGAGGAAAGGGGGAGGGAGCCCCCAACCCCCAAGGCCAAGTGCACATTTGTGCTCATGCGTACACACTGTCTTGGCAACATCCTCCACGGGGTGAGGCCTCAACCTGTCCCATTCCAGAGCATGGGGCGGGGGTGGTGGCGCGCCCACAGCCAGGCAGGCCTGACTCAGGGGAGAGGAATGAAGGGGGGAGGGCACAGCTGCCCAGGTGGCCTTGCTCAGGAGCTGGAACCCTCCAGCCTGGGCCTGACCCCACTCCCCCACCACCACATTTGACCCCAGGCCAGCCCAGGAGGCAGGATTCAGAGTGTTCAGAGGTCCTGAGTCTCAAGCCCTCTGTCCTGGTGAACAAACCAGGGCCTTCCCATAGGAGCAGACCCAGAACACACGGAGATTTTATTCTCTTAGAGACAAGACAAAGGGACATGAACATCACAAAAACCTTCAGGTGAAGGTTTCTCTTTTTCTTCTGTCTCCCAGAACACCTAACAAAAACCCGAAAGCCATGTATGACTTCCCTTTTTACAAATGAGTACGAGGAGGCTCCAGGGAAAGTGACTTGCTCAAGGTCACCCAACCAGGAAGTGGCTGAGCCCACAGCCAAACTTGGGTCTCACTCAACGCTTTCATGGTCCTAAGTCTGAGGAAGTTACGGGATCAGGGGGGCTGCAACCTCAGTTCCTGCCCAAAGAGGGGGAGCTCTACACCCCACCTCTACAGGGGGGAAATCCCCCTCCTTCCTTCCCTCAGTGGGAGGCCCCACCCTAGAGCAGAGCTGAAGAGCTGACAGGCCGGTTCTAAGGTAAATATGGGGGGGCAGGGAGTGCCCCTGACAAGGAGAGGAGGATCCCATGCCTGAGGCGCCTGGGGGGAAGCAGCGGCAGTGCAGGGAGGAATTAGCTACAATAATATTAATAAATGTCATAACGAGTTTCCGGGTCAGTATTTGCTCCTGACAATAACATAATAATCTCTTTCGGCCAGGATGCGCGTCTAACTTTCCGAGAGCCCTTTCCTTTGTCCCTTCAAGGCATGGTTCTCCCTATTTTACAGATGGCGGAAGGCAGCCACAATGAAGTCAAGAGAGGAAAGGCCTGGGAGTCAGAAGGTCTGGATTAGAGAGGCCCTGGTCGAATGAATCAGCCTCTCTGGGCCTCAGTTTCATCTGTAAAGTAGGACTCACAGCCACCTCACAGAGTGCCTGGGAAATCCGAAGCCACACACAAGCAAGTGCAAACACAAAGTGCTGGGCTCAGAGGGAGCCTCTGCCTCTCCAGGGTGGAGGGTTGGGTAAAGGTCCCTCTCAGGCCTTTCCACTCACAACACCATAATAAACTTGCACTTATCCAGTGCCAACCAATTGAGAGACACACGTGGTCTCACTAAATCCCCCTCGCCATATGGAGGCACTCCCTCAGGGTCAGTGACTAACCCAAGGTCACACAGCTAGTGACTGGCAGAGTCAGGGTGTGTGAGCCCAGCTCTGACTGGCTGTAAAATCCTGTTCTTTTTTTTAAAGTTTTTTTTTTTTAATTTATTCATTCAAGACACAGAGATACAGAGAGAGAGAGAGAGAGCGCACGAGCAGGAGGAGAAGGAGAGCTAGAGGGAGAAGGAGGCTCCCCGCCGAGCAGGGAGCCTGACGCGGGACTCGATCCCAGGACCCCGGGATCATGACCTGAGCCAAAGGCAGACGCCTAACCATCTGAGCCACCCAGGCGCCCCATGTAAAATCCTGTTCTTCCCATGCCACCAGAGGCCTCCTCTCCCACCCACTTCCGGAGCTCTCTTCAAGTCCCAAGTGGCATTAAGGACCATTATTAAGATAAGGTCTGATAGGGACACTTAACAAGCTCCCTCTCAGCTCATCAGTGACCTAGCCCTAACCCTTCTGTTGGGGAAGGAAGGGAATTTCAGGGCCAGACCAGAGACCCCACAGCCCTGGGAGTCAGAAGCCT